GGACAAGACCTAGAAGACCATACACCTTGTCTTTAGGGTCAGTTGATTCGAAATCACGATACTTGGCAAGAATTTGCAGCAAACCCAGCTCGTCTTTATCACCATCATCAAACATACAATAAGCATTGTAATAAGAAATATCATCCAGATGACTGGGCCCATCGAAGTCGCTCTCAGACATCTGGCCGGTAAGCCAACATGCAGTCACACCTACCATATTCCAGGAGATAGAATCTTCGCCCACGAGAACGATTGAGTCACGAGCAAGAACGATCTCCTGTATACACCATACCCTAGTGAACCATGGTCGTGCGAAGAAATTTCTAAGGGCTGGCCACGAGCGAGGATGCTTGGGACTGCAATGATCTCCGAGTCTCTCCAGCTGATCGGGTGTCACACCGTTCAGGCCCTGATATGCGACTGCCAAAGTGATTAGGTCTGCATCAATTATCTCAGCATGTTTGCTGCATGCCGCATAGATAGTCCTCATAAGAGACGTAGCTACAGTAACATCTTCTCCGTACTCCAGACCCAGCCATACAACTACCCGAGAAGCGCGGGAGTATATTTCTCTCATAAGCTGCACCTGCTGATTCCTCTCCTCAATACCATCTTGATTGATGCAAATTGCATCTGCCCAGATAAGCCTTGCTGAACTCGACTGTCTAAGGTGTTGCAAGGCTTGGTAGAGGTTGGCAGTGATTGAGAATTCGCTCCCTTCGCATTGTATCTCCTGTCTGATTTTCGGATCTCCCCAAACATACGAAAGCGCCTCGAACCCTAGTGCATTATCCAATCCGGACTCGACAAGTTCACATTGGATAGGTTCTGATTCTAATCCAGACAGAAGCTTCAGAAATCGGACGTGCCGCGGTTGCAGCCTCTGCGGATAACAGACTGACATGACCAGGATGTAGTCAGCCCCATAATACAACTAGAATTCAAGACTCCAATCATGCCAGACAAGAGATATTACGTAATTATTGCGTAGTAGATGTCCAGGAGTAATGAAGTCATTCAAATAAGTGAGAATGGAAATATTTTCTGGATCTGAAAAGAGAAACAAAAGATAGCGAGAGATGAGGACAAAGTGACCTCATATAAACTCAGTTTTGGTTCTTGGGCGTGAAAAACGCAAGGGTATAACGTGAGCAATGAGTAAGCAGCTTGAGCCGTGGCTGAACAAAACTGAGCTATAGTGGCTATGTATAATATGATTCAATAGGATAATAGACCTTCGGCCTATTTATCACTATTGATATTACATATAACTTTTAATCATAGATAAATCTTAGGTCTAGATTAAAGATTTTAAAAGGGATTATCTGCCCGGAAGTTCAGGTCTCATCTCGTCTCAAGATAATGGCAGCTCCTCGCTCCAAGCATCACCTCCTCATATCCCCTCTCAATACCGAACTTCTACTCCTGCCCTTCGAAGCCTCATCCTCACCTCCGCATTTATAACTTCCACTCCCAAATATACATCCTCCTCTTCCTACCCCCCTTATTCTCCGGATACTGCTGGAAATCATCCTCGCCATTACACCTCACAAACTGCGGCAGCGAAGTAACAATCCTCATACTAGCAACATTCTCCTGCAACACACGTACAAACACAGTCCGCACACTCTCATAGTTTTTCCCCCAGTCCACAATTGCTTGCACAGCGGATTTCATGATGCCTTTACCCTGCCAATCTGGATGCAAATAATATCCCAAATCAACATCTCTGCCTTGCCCCTCAACCCTCGCTTTCTGTTCCCGTACGACGGAAGCCATAGGTCCATCGTGAGGCGCAAGACCTATACTCCCGATAAAGGGCCCAGTCTCGGGATCAGAAGCACGTAAACAAGTTAGGGGCAGATCTGCTTGGCCACTCACTGTAGGGGGAGGATTGTTAATGTGGCTTTCTTTCCTTAATTTTTAATAGTCGAAAAGATGGACCTTACATTGCTTGTCCAGCCACCATTTCGCATCATCTAGCGTGTATGGCTTGGGGAGCCCAATAAGATTGTCGCCAATGGCGTCTATGGCAGCAGTTCTCTGCATGGCTTCTACGTCGCTTTCTCTCAACTTCGTGAGGTAGATTGGGACTTGGGCGCGGGTGGTAAGGGCGATATAGGGGGTTCCGGAGGGGGTATGCTCGAGTTTGTGACTCGCTGAGTCAATAGTGGGGGTTGGTTCCGCCATTGTTAATGTGCTTGGGAAATCAGTTGCTTGTGGTGTTTGATACAGGCACTTGAAAAGGTGAGCCGAGGAGTATATATATTGTGGTCTGAACTAAAGTGAACTGATGGAGACTTCAAGGGGTTGAACGGATACGGAGTGTGAACCTGACAATGCAGGGCCCGTTTTAGTGCGGAGCTCGCTTGCCCGCAGAAGGAATTAGAGAGCAACTGCATATAGTGACAAGATGGTCAGAAATAGGCAGGTACATATCGCTATTAGATACTGTATTAGTTCATGGATTCGGGTTGAAACACCGAGTTGTGGTACTTGAGGGCGTTACGATGTTCGGATAATGTGATTGGCTAGTTCAAGAAAAAAGGGATATGTCACGCCGTGCGACTCAGACGGCGGGGCGCGAGCCGGCCCTAAATCTGAGCTGAGGCTGAGGTACAGGGGTAAGTCGCTAAATTAACTCTAAAGCTAGATGGCACGACCCCATGACCACGACCTCATGACCACGACCACGACCTAGGTAGGAAGGTAGGTAGTACAGTAGGTACATCAATCGCCGCTATGTAAAGAATGAGATAGCAGGTAAGTGCTTCACATAGGTAATTCGCATATAATGCAGCGAAGATGTGATTGATATATTGGGGTGAGTGGGTTGTTAAGGAGCTTGGACTATCAGCCTTCCGTCTGGATGCCATCCAGCACTTCTCTAAACGTTTCACGACCAAGTTCATCACCAATCTCGAGAAGAAGTTTGGAAAGGACAGCATGTTCCTTGTTGGAGACTACTGGAACCCAGATGCACAGGTCATGTCAGACTGGCTGGACCAAATGAAGCACAAAATGTCGCTACTTGACTCACCGTTAGTGAACAACTTACTCAAATATCTCGAAGGAGGGGAATACAGATCTTCGCAAAGTTTTCGATGGAAGCTTTGTGAAGATGAGGCCACTCGATGCTGTAACCCTCGCTACAAACCACGATACACAGGCTGGACAAACAGTAGCAACGCCCATTGAGGACTTCTTCAAGTCCCTTGTTGTTTCCAGGGGGAAGGATCTTGAATTGACTGCTGTTCTACAGTGGGAAGTACGCTGTATATATAGGGCCTTCAGGCCCTAGGATGCCTTAGGCAGCTACTGTAGCTGCTAGGCTACAGCGCCACTTCCAGGCTTTTCTATCGCCACAGCCAGGCTATGCATTGCCACTTCCAGGCTACAACACCTCTTGCTGAGAAACCAAGGTGTTGGAATGCATAGTAGGAATGCTAGGGCCTGAAGGCCCTATATATATAGCGTACTTCCTACTGTAAGACAGCAATCAATTCAATTCAATTCACTTCACTGCAAAACAACAGAGAATTAGAGATGTCATTGCTGACTAAGCATGGTACAGTTCCCCTGTCCTGTTGTCCGTAACATCCGTTTCAAGTACCATGCAAACAGCAACTCAACCTCAACTGCAGATCCATCTCAGTTGGGCGTCCAAATACATTTCTTAACATCGATAGTTTGCCCTACAGTGAAGTCTCTCAATATGTCACACTGCGGAACCTGTGACCGTTGGTTCAACACCTATAATGGGTACCTCCAACACGTCAACAACAGCCCAGCCCATCAATCCTCTTCCGAGTCGGATTGGGAGTGCGATGCCTGTGACCGCAGCTTTGCAACAGAAAACTCTCTACATCAGCACTGCTCTAGCGCTGGAGGCCATCCGTACTGCATCTCGTGCAAGCGCATGTTCATCAGCCAGCACAACCTAATGCAGGTACAGTACAGCATACCACGTCACTCGCTTCTAGGCTAATTCCTCCTCTCCTCTTCTGCAGCACATGCATTCCAAGACCCACTCCTCCATGGCCTGCCCATTCTGCAAATCCCCATTCGCGAACGCCTCCGGTGTGATTATCCATTTGGAAGCCGGTCGCTGCTCCTCGGGCTTTGATCGTCACAGGATCAACGAGGCTATTCGCAAGTTGGACCGCAATAATGTTATTACGAAGCCGATGATCGAGTTGCCAGGTTACGGTGGCCGTGTGGAGACGATGGCTACGGATATGGCTTGGAATGGCTTTGGATTCGAGTGTTATCTCTGCCAACGAGAATTTGGCAGCCTTCACGGCCTGAATAATCATTTGAAGAGCCCGGCCCATGATCAAGAGATATACCGCTGCCCCAAGGCAGGCTGTGGGCGAAATTACAAGCTTCTCAGTGCATTGGTTCAGCACGTGGAGAGCGAGAGTTGTGGACTGATGAGATTCAGCCAAGTTCAAAAACACGCTCGAAATGGCATTGATAACATGGTGGGCAGAATGATTACAAGATAAGGGCTTTCCGGGGAGTTTTGTGACTTATGGTTGGCCTGGTGCCTTTATTTTGGAGTATTGAGAGTCCGACAGCGACTATGCGGTTCCGCGGTGTAATCTACAGCTGGTGGAGTCTCTGCACTTTTTCCTTCGGCCAGAAAGACGGATGGGGAAATGGGCAACCATTAGGACTAGTGTATGAGGTGAAATTTAGCCATTGCTTTTCTACAGAAGCGATTTGGTGCTTTTCTGCAATGGTTCCATATGCCCTTTGAGTATTTTCGGTATTCTGCCTTTCTCTTTTGCGATTACCTTTCGAATTCGTGTCACAGGAGTCTCGTCGTATCTTTCGCTGAAGGTCTCGTTCGAACCCAATACCAATAGGACAGGGTTCCATCCTTCTATTTGTCTTAGTATCAATTCCCGGATCTCCAATTTATTTATGAATCTACATCTAATCTATAGTTTACTCTTCACCTGCTCCAGTTCTTCAACCTTGGCGAACTGATAGTAGTAATCCAAGCTTCCTGGATTAAGCAAGGTGCCACTAGGCTTAATCACCTTGCCCGAGACAATTTGTTTGACCGGCAATTCCACTTTCTTCAAATTGACCGTCGTCTATCACCATCAGCACATTTCCACTCTACAGGCATATAGGGAATACTCACAGGAATATCCGGCGTCTCAAATATATATTTTGGCACATGCCGCGCACTTAATTCCTTCCTTATGGCCGCTTTCACATCATTCACGAGCCTGCCTGTGAACTTCTCCCCCTTCTTCATCAATAAAAACAGCATCACACTCTCATCCGAATCTTGCGGTCGTCGTTGACCGACACAAATACTATCCGCAATCGTGGGGAAGCCAGCCTCAATAACGCTATATATCTCTGCACTCCCAAATCTCACACCTGAAGGATTCAAAACACCATCTGCGCGACCTAGAAAGACAACGTTCTTCGTGACGGGATGGATCATGATGAAGTCGCCGTGTGTCCAGACGTTGTCGTATTTCTCAAAGTAGGCCGAGAAGTAGCGCTCGCCTGATGGGTCGTTCCAGAAGAATACGGGCATGTTGGGGAATGCGGAGGGTGCGATTAGTTCTCCTGGTGTGCCGTGCTCGACAACTGCGCCAGGGACACCCTTTCCGCCTTCGATAAGGGAATCGTAGACTGCGAGGGGAGTGCCGAGACTGGGCCCCTGGCATCCGCCGACGTAGACGGGTGTGAGTGGGTTGTCCTGTGTCATGTTAGAATCATCACCGGCGATGGATACATCAGCTTTACCTGAGCAAAGCATCCAGCCTGTTACAAGTTAGCCAAAATCATCTTTAAAACCAGCGTTGAACTTACTAAATCTGTGCCTCCAGCAATATTCGCTAGCTGAACATGCTTCGGAAACCCAGCATCATAAAACCATTCAAATTGTTGGTCACTCAACACCATCCCTGTACTGCTCACTACCTGGAGCTTACTCAAATCCGTCACTTCTCTTGGCTTGATCCCATTCGTAGCAAGTTCATGCATCCACCTTGGACTTGTCCCTAACACTGTCACACCCTGATCTCCGATTAACTTCACGAATGTTGTTAGGTCTGGAATGAAAGGACTGCCGTCATACAACACGACTCTTGCTCCGGCCAAAAGGTTCATGACGGATGAGAAGTACATGATCCAGCCCGTTGTTGTGTACTGCAGAACTACGGACTCGGAGTTGATCCCACGATGAAGCTGTCCCTCTCTGGCGGAGGAAAGTGTCGCGCCGCCTACAGAGTGGACAATGCATTTCGGCGTACCGGTTGTGCCTGAGGAGTAGGCTATAAGAAAGGGGTCGTGGAAAGCTACTTGTTCAAATTCTGGGACCGGAGAAGACTTCGAAACGTCCCGGAACGCAGAAAGCGTTTGCGTTTTCGGAATGCTGGAGATATCAACCGGTTCTTGGAAGCGTGGCATACTCACCATCGCCTCAAACTCCTTCACATCTTTCATACCCTCCACAATCTCCCTCATTTTGGGCCGCAAATCTACTCTCTTCCCATTGTAAATCGCGAAGTCGTCCATGAACATAAACTGTTCTCATCAGTGCTGTCTTTACGGAGTACTTCATGAGAGTTCGGATTCCATAACGGGGTCGTTGATTACCTTTGGAGTAACCTGCAACGCCCTCTGCAAGACACCCTTGACGCCCATATCCGTCGAACTGCTACTAAACAGCCCGCCCAACCAGGTACATGCCAAGAAAACCTTCAGCGTATCGAGCGAGTTACTTGCGACCACCACAACCCGATCCCCCTTCCCCACACCATGCGCCTTCATCGCCGCAGCCAACTGCCCAGCCTCTGCGCGCAATTGTCCCCAGGTCACATCCCGGATTTCCGTAGCCCCCTCCCGAACTTCCGTGATCGCGATCTTGGAGTCTTCTTTCCCTTTCTTTCCACGCTGTGAAGAGGGGGCGCCGGGAACGCGGGAGTACAGCAGATTCTCGGCGTAATTCATATGCAACCCATCGAACCACCGGGGAATGGCATCAATGCGTGCGGATTCGTCTACGACCTGGGAGTAGCTGCCTGTGTATATCAGGTTTAGGAATTGGAATGCTTGATCCCAGAAGGCTGCTCGGTTGGTTATGGAGTATTGGTAGAGCTCCCAGAATGTCTAGCTCGGGTCGCGTTAGCAAAGGATATGGGGCTTTTGAGTGGAAAGAGGGAGAAATTACTTTTAATTGGAGGTTTTGTGATTTGTTTACCGAGTTCATAAATTTGTACATGAGCGTGCTCTTGGGATTGGGATGCTCCCATAGCTTTCTGGGGACGATCAGGGATTCCATGGTAAAAGGTGATGAAGAGAAATGTAGACAGTTAGAGAGATAAATAGGAGTAGAATATTTGTAGAGTATAAGTCAAAAGAAAGAAGGAAGGAGAAAAAGAAGATTAGGGATTTATCGGATGAATTGTCGTCGGCTTTGGAATCCCTCGGTATAAAGTACGGAGTACCACCCCAGCGATGACGGATGCGGGGACCCCAGTGACCCCACTAACAGTACAGGTAGTTCCTACCGGATGGAAAGAATTGGCGGAATAAGGCACTAAGCCTTGTTTGTCCATTCCCCAACACCGCCTTTTACTTACCTATTAAAATAAATAGTCCATGGATTATTAGACGAAACGAAACATATTGAATTAAATTCTGGAAGGTCTCTACTTATGTGTTAGATGTAATGGTTTACGAAAGCCATAGGTTTTAGTGAGGTTTGTTCAAGGACTTCCTAAAGCAACCTAGGGAATCCAATGCTTCGAAGACCCGCCGAATAATGACATGGAAAACATAATGGTGGATGTTGTTGATCCACCAAGGGACTTGAATTATGCCAATGCCTACATTAGAAATCTTCAATCTATAGATAACGAGAGGCATGAGTCCTAAACCTGCGGCAACAATTTTCCATATCTCACTCAAGAAACCAGTAAAAACTCCAAAAGTCAAAAGGGGATTGCTTCTATCACTTGCTATAATATATTCCGGTCCTTCCTCTCTCTACTTGTAATACGAAGCTATTAATCTTAGATCACCCTCCCATAGAATAGTGATGAAGTTTTCCCAAGACTCTAAATACCCTCAAGCTAAAAGAAGCTCATACCCCTATATCTAGACTCAAATCGCGGGGCCAATAGTCTCGCATCTGGCTCTATCTTCGTAACCTGCCTGCGTTGGCGCGTCCTCCGTTTACCACCCACAGCATTGGATAGTAATCTTTTTCCACAAGTTACCTTACTTGTAGGGAAGCTAGCTATACGTATGTCTCACAGGGGACTCGTAGGCGTGGCTATCGATGTTTGCTTTAGATGGCGCGGTGTTTTTCGTGGAGGTTGTGGGACCTGAATCGTGGAAAAAGGAGAGTCTAAAGCCAGAATAATACAAATGCAGGAACTCAGATTCGGTTCAGACAAGTTTAAGACTTTTGGGATTTAAGTAGAGGCTTAAACATCCTCCCCTTACGCCACGCCACACCGAATGGATTTAGCACGGGGCCAGAGAGCAGAATGCTGTTTTGTTTTGTTTTGTTTTGTAGGTCGCGACCAGTAAAACTTGTATGTTGAGCAGAATTTGTTGATTTGTGGAATAAGAAAAGCAGCTCAGAACACCACATACTCCAAACGCCTTATCCCCAACTCCAAAATCATACCTATACCAGTGACTTCTCCCTCTCCTCGAACTTCCCCCCTTTAACCCCATACCTCCACGCCATATACCCCGCCATACCAACCCAACTCCCTACGCCCATCCCCCCTATCCCATACCTCCAGCCACCCTTCGCCACCCCCGCTATGGCACCCACCGCCATACCCCCATACGTCCAGTCATCACATTCAACCTGCCCCTTATTCCCCAACAACCTCCAACTGCGATCCTGCCATTCAATCCCTTCCCTCCCCCACATACGTAGCACTACCGCGACCCCCAACAACGCCGTCCCGATCACCGCGCCCCGGCCCGTCGACCGCAGCAATATAGCCTCGAAGCTCGGGCAAATGAGGGGGTTGTGCCGGCGGCGCAAGAAGTAGATGGTGCTGGCGACGGGGAGGGAGACGAGGGAGCCGGCTTGGAAGCCGCGGGTCAGGACGTGGGTTGTGAGGATTGTGCGGCCGTATTTCTGGTCTTCTTCGTAGACGGCTTGGGGGAAGAAACGCGACATTTTGGGGGTGAGCGGAAAGCTGTTGCGTTAGAGCTGGTGAGGGTTGTCGCGTGGGAATTGCTTGATTAAGAGAGAGACTTTGATATAGGAGGTATTCTTGCTGTATAAGTAGGAAAGGGTGAGTACGGAGAAAGGGAGGGAGATAGCAATACGACGTCGCTGAGCTACCTTTTTAAATTCTACGTATGCGTGTAAGACGGAGAGGAGAGGGCTCCGAGTCGTGTCACTCATGCTCGTACAATGGTGCCATTTTTGGCGATGGAGGCTGGAGTTGGCGCATTGTGGACCCAAGCGGACTTTTTGGGTGGATGCATGTCCGGGTAAAAGTGGAGAGCTGAAAAAAGGGGCGTACGCGAGTGCGAGCCAGGAATGGGAGAGGTGAGGTATACAAATCCATGTATGGAGATTGGCTGAAAATCGGTTATTATCAATGTTTACTTATTGACACACGACGTCGTTCGTTTCTATCATCACAAAATATACAGCAAAATACAACTGCATCTCACACCGCCACTTTTGTTGATCCCAACCAAACGCCAAACCATGCCCTCTCTACGCCATCAATGCACCGCTCATATCCCATTAATCATCATCACTCAGGTCCATAAGACTATTACCTTCTTCACCAAGACCATTACTGATCCTCGCTCTCAACTTTCCCTTTCCCTTCCCCTTTCGCATCGCTGCGACAGTCCTAGCAGCCTCCGCTTTCTTCATAGTCAATTCCCGCTCAAAATCATCATCTTCCTCAAATTCTTCATTACCACCTGCACTTCCACCTGCAGTTTCTTCAAGAGCCTTGTTCAAGAGCTCTGTCGCGATTGCATCCTGCGGTGATATCGCCAAAGCTTCGTGAAATACATAAACAGCATCGAATGGCCGTCTCTGCTCCATCAGCACCAGGCCCTTGGCACAGAATATCGAAGGATCTTTTCCCCCTTGTCTGAGCACCTCGTCAAATTCAGCCAGTGCCTGATCCCAGTGGTGCAATCTCCGATAAGCGTGACCGAGATTCGCTCGAGTCGAGATCCAAGCTTGAGAATCACTATCAATTTCATCTGCAATTTCTAGAGACTTGCTGAACATGGAAACTGCATCCCCTAGACGCTCTTGGTGGTAAAAGACTACTCCCATTTCATTGAGAAGTAGTGGATCCGTTTTACAAAGACCGTAGGCAGTCTTCAAGAATTCGTCCGCGAGGGTCATGTTATTCAACATATGATTCTGCATTCCAAGGAACAGTTGAGGCAGATGTGTACCCATGAAGAGTCTCGCAGCTGTCGAATAGGCCGATATTGCCTGGTCGTGTTCCCCTTCTGCCGCAAATGTGTGTGCAAAACCGATCCATGCAGGCCCGAAATGTGGATCCATCATGCTTGCTTTGCTGAAATACCGTCGAGCTTCTGCAACTTTGTTGATTGCAAGATAGTATATTCCAACAGCAAGCCAGGCACATGGCTCTTCTGGGTGATTATCTGCAAGGTCGTGGGAGACAAGGAAAAGGGAATTTTTGAGCTGCAATTCGTACAGACATGCCAGATGAAGGGGGTACATGCTAAAATTGTATTTATCATTTTGTAGTATGGAGCTCGTGATTCCTAATGCGTCCTTGAATCTGCATTGTGTGAACAAGAGGTCTGCTTTGGAAAGCAGCAAATCAGGATTGTTTGCGAGGTTATAGTGAGTAGAGAGTGTCTCGGTGGCCGCTGTAAATGTCGCGGGGTTCTTGTATTTAGACAGCCTAGTGGTATAAAGCATCTTCGTAAATTCGGCAGCTTCTTGGGAAGATGAGGTATCGTCGTTGATCTGTATGGCATCGAAGTCGAGGGATTCTAAGAACTGCCATTCCTCGTCTGGTGACATCAAGCAGTTCTTCATGAGCTGCTCAAAGGCCTCGAAACACTGGACATCTATTCGGACAGCATCTTTGTAGCATTCCTTTGCACGGTCGAAAGCATTCTGTTTCGCGTAGCATAGTCCTCGAAGGAAGCACATTGCCGCTTCAAATCGAATGTTCGCGGCGTCTTCTTGTGCCGCTTCATCCCTTTTTTCGTGTCTCTCCAACCTTGCAGCGGTCTTCCCATGGTGTGCCGAGCCCCCCTTGTTGTGTTGCAACTTTCGCCTGCTATTACTAGAGCTTGTGATGAGGTGAGTAGGGTTCTTCTCGCCGAGGATATTAAGTGCTTCTTCGAATCGAGATTGCTTGATCAAACAGTGTCCAGCAAGATATCGACATGAGGGGTTCCGCGCGATAAGGTCTTGTTTAGAGAGAAAACTTTGGGCTCGCGTGTAGTTACCAGTCGAGAAGTGAACTTGGGCAAGCCAAAAGGCGTCTTTGTCGTTTTCTGAGGGTGCGATATTAGTACAAGAGATGCTATAAATTCTAAGGAGCATTACTTGTTAAGGCCAACAGTTTGTCTCCTATGAAAATGGCCGAGTCGTACTGGTGTTTATTGAGGGCATCCTGCCGCCAATCCCTCAAGAACTTCTCCATGCCGAGTTTCGTAGCATGCGTAAAGGTATCCGTAGGATCATAAGTCGTAGTCCATGAGAAGGTGGGATTTTGATACTTACGAGAGGCAAATCCAGTTTGTTGTTGTTGTCTCTGGCAGATTGGGGGAAGGCGCGTCTGGGCAACGCGAGGCTGAGATTTAGAAACTGCGGATCAATTCCGTTCTGGTCGCCGTATCGAAAATCCCATGCCATGAGCCATGCTACTTCTACTTCTTTCTGACCTCACTCTCCTTTTATTGCTCAAACCACACAAATTCCAACTCCGCGGGACGCCTCCTCGACATCATCTTCCTCCGTTCCATCACACTTCCCCCATCGTCTCTAGCCCACCATGTCTGAACGAAAGGTCCTAACCAAATACTACCCCCCGGACTTCGACCCCTCCAAGATTGTCCGGTCGCGCGCCCCCAAGCAGGCAGGCCCCAAAGTCCAAACCGTCCGTCTCATGGCACCCTTCCCCATGAAATGTACAGCATGCGGTGAATATATCTATAAAGGTCGAAAGTTCAACGCACGCAAAGAAACCACCGAAGACCGATACTACTCGATCCCCATCTACCGCTTCTACATTAGATGTACAAGATGCAGTGGGGAGATTACTTTCAAGACGGACCCCAAGAATATGGACTACGAGTGCGAGCGCGGTGCAAAGAGAAATACGGAACCATGGCGTATGAATGGGCTTGGAAAGCAGGAGAGCGACGAAGAGAGACTGGATCGCCTGGAGAGGGAAGAGGAGGAGAAGAACGCAATGGAGGAACTTGAGACTAAAACTCTCGACGCAAAGCGTGAGATGGCTGTCGCCGATGCCTTGGATGAGATCCGGACCCGAAATGCTAGGAATGAACGTATGGGCAAGGATGGTGTAGAAGTCACAGTTACGCGGGAGACCCGAGACGATGAAAGAGAGAGGCAAGAACGGGAGGATGAGGAGGCGGCGAGGATGGCGTTTATGCGGAGGCATGAGGCTCTGGAGGAGGTCATCGATGATGAAGATGCTGAAGAGACTGGCGAGAAGGCGCCCCCTATCACGAAAGAAGCTGCCTTGGAGATGCCTCCGCCGAGTTTCAAGCGTGTCGTGAAAAAGAAGAAAGACCATGCTGCTGCGTTAGGGATTAAGAAAAAGAAGTCTCTAGTGTGAAACATGTCTAGTGTTTTCGCGCTCTTGGGTCTGGATGGCGTTAGTACGGAGGAGCATAAGTCTTGACAGTCGCAAAGGCCAAATGATCAAGCTTTCGTGTCGGATTCTGGGCGTTCTGTGCTTTAATTTGACAAGATACGAATTTATAACACATAGCTGTTACCTTTCACGAGTTGCGGGCTATCATGATTCCCAAGTTTTCGGAAAAAAGAGGTAAATATCATGACCTGTGCTGGGAGAAGATCCTTTGATTGAATTCAGAAGATAGGAACTACCACTCCAAATGCAACATGTGAAGAATTCTCGTATCCCAAATGCAGTACTCTATCTATCATCTTATCATCCCTCAAGGCCCCAAAAAAGTCTTCCGCAACACTCTGGTGGCGGTAAAAATCTTTCATTTTCTATCATCTGACGGCTCTTCATGTCCGCCTACGCCATTGGACCTTAGCTGAAGGCATAGGGCGAGCGACCATTGACTCTTAAAGAATCAAATTTAGACATTTTATCCCATGTAGTTCACAAGAGAGCTACGTACCGACCAATTAGTTGGCACAACCCCTTTTTGGCCCTCCAGGTTTGAGAACTCCATTGTTCTTACCATGAGTGCGACAAGGCTTACCAGTTGCAGATAGGCGAACTTGTCACCAATACAGCCCCTTTGTGTTCAAGCGGCGTGAGGCTTTGGCATTGAAGAGAGTGACATATTGATCCGCCCCGGAAACCAAAAACATCTAAAGAGCCCAAGCCTCAAGCGAACAGGAGTGGAATATCCATACTTCTCACTATTGTAACTTGTTAGGTAGTGGCTTTTTATAAGTGCAAAAGACGTTCATCTAGAGTCCTAAAAACTCAAGTTGTCTTGGCACAATAGCCAGCTGGATCCCAAATGAACGGCAACAGGTTGCCTATGAACGGGATTCAGTATGGGGCGATGTTCATGGACACGTTCTTCCGCACCAAATTGAGCGTCTGTTCCCCGATCTAGGCCCAACGTTCTACGTTGGTACTTGGCCATTTGGCCCTCCAATTCTCGCCATTGCGGCTCCAGATCCAGCTTATCAGATTACTCAAGCGCATTCACTGCCGAAGTATTATCGCCTTCGTCAATATATGCAGCCCAGGACAGGTGGAGGCGATTTAGTCACAATGGAAGGGAGCGAGTGGAAGAAGTGGAGAAACATATTCAATCCGGGCTTTAGCAGTGGTCATCTCATGACTCTAGTTCCCGAAATCATGCAAGATGTGTCAAGATTCTGCAAAGTTCCGAGACAGACGGCGGAGAGAGCGGAAGTTGTATCAATGGACACTCTCACCACTAGGCTAAGCCTAGACATTATCGGGCGAGTGGCACTGTAAGTACAAATTTTTGAATTGGCATAGTTCATATGGTTTCTAAAGATTGATTAGAAACACTCGCCTGAACTCTCAGCGAGGTACCAACGATTTTGTTTCTGCGATGCGTAATTAGGTAAGATGGCTTTCATTTGGGAATGAAGCCAACTTGTTTGAACGCTACCATCCATTACATCCCATAATGACTTGGTGGAACAATCGTCGGATGCTGCAATATATACATCGCGAGCTAGATTCACGCTTCAAAACTAAGCATACGCAAAGCGAAGTGACAAAGAAAGTTCGCAGCAAGACGATAATTGACCTCGCCTTGGTTAACTACCTGATTGGAAACACGCAAAATAACTCCACCAATGCTATGAATACCATATTTCGAGACATCTCCACATCCCAGATAAGAACCTTCGTCTTTGCTGGCCATGATTCGACCAGTAGTACCATGTGCTATGCTTTCCATCTTCTTTCGAAGCATCCCACAGCCCGCCACCAACTCATTGCTGAACACGATCGCGTACTTGGTCTGGACTATAACAAGCTGCAAAGCAGATGAGTGAAAACCCAAACCTCCTAAACCAACTTCCTTACACTTTAGCTGTTATCAAAGAAGCTCTACGGTTATACCCCCCAGCATCAAGTACTCGGAGTGGCGAGCTAGGCCATTTCATATTGGGATCCAATGGTGTTCAACTCCCTACGGACGGGTTTCTCGTCTGGTCAAATGCATATGCCATTCATCGCGACGAAAAATACTGGCCTGAACCTGACAGTTTTCTTCCTGAGCGTTGGCTTGCAAACGAGGGTGACCGCTTATATCCTCTGAAGGGCGGTTTTCGTCCATTTGAATTCGGGCCTCGCAATTGTATAGGACAAGAGCTGGCAATGCTAGAGCTGAAAATTGTACTAACTATCACAGCGCGAGAATTTGATATCAAGAGTGTGTACGATGAATGGGATAGGCTGCATCCTACCAAGGCATTGAAAACGCTGAATGGAGATAGAGCATATCAGATCCTTTCCGGGTCTGCTCATCCAAGCGATGGGCTTCCGTGTCGAGTAACCTCAGCCACGCACTGATGTCTGGATAACTGATATCTGCAATCAGCGGGCTTACTGCATGACATTCGGGAAGGGACACTCCTTTACTGAATGCTGGCTTGAAAGCAAGCCACACAGAAGACATGTAGTTGAGTTTTTGGTGTTCTAGAAACCTTATCCTAAACGAGGCACGTACGTACCTTTTAGCGCCTTGGCGCTTAGCAGCTTGCGGCCGGTGCAGGGATATAGTAGCGTTCGAAATCAACTTCATGTTCCAAACTTACATTGATTTTGTACGGAGTATTTGCGCCACATTCTAGCATACTAGTATCAATATAGCCAACCCTTTTCCCAATCAAGTCTTTTTCTTAAGTACGCCCCAAATCCTAGGCAAGCAAGTATACGGATCGTCGGCCACCTTAATGTCACCAGGGTTTTCCCACTCCCCAGCCGCCAAAATATCCGCCTTGATATCCCGATTCATACAACACCCAACGAATGCGCTCCAGGCGGGATTCAAACAAGCTGTTTCCATATTAGCCCAAATCGATTCTTTAATATGAGAACTAATACATACTTTGCGTGATAGCCGTAATAGTATCCTTATTCTTCACATGCTCCCAGAATATAAAGCTACCCCCTGGCTTTAACAACTTCCACACCTCTCTCATCACACTCTTCACATCTCCCACTGCGCACAACACCTGAATACTCAGCACGGTATCCATGCTTCCCTCTTCAATCCCCTCTTTTCTCAAAATCTCGCTTTCTTCAACACCACATGCTAAAAACTTGTACTTATCCTGAAGATCAAGTTTCTTAACCTTGGCGGTAATGGCGTCTTCATAGTGGGGGTTGGGGTCAATGGCGTATATGAACTTCACGAGGGATGGATCGTAGCGCTGAATTTGGTTGCCTGGTCCGGGGCCAAGCTCGAGGGCTTTACCGTGAGCAGAGCAGACAAGAGAGGGGACACAGGTGGTGTCTTCATAGGCGATGAAGCCGTTGGCTGTGCACAAGATTTAGTACGTTCGGGGATGGGTTGGATTGAGGAAAGGGAAGTTACATGTTAGGATGAGGAGTTTTGCTAGAGCCGCGTCTCGAATTCGCTGGGGATGTGCAAGTGAAGCGAGGCCGTTTTTGCGAAGTTCTTCTTTGAAAGCGTCGTAGTGCACTATTTTGGGGAATTAGTATGTTGGTATAAGGGAGGATGAAGGGGGAGAATTACATTTGACGGATAACCAGATGAGCTGGATGGGTCTGAAGATGCCACTGAGGCGGATGTTAACGGCCATGGTGCTCATTTAATATAACTTGTATCACGCGGAAATCTGAGCGAGGAATTATTGTGCATGTGATGGGAAAGCAGACGAGCTCGTTGAGTAATCGTGGGTGGTGGGAGGGGGGTGAGCACGTTGAGATGTGTGTAGGGTCTAAATAAGAAAGGAAGATAAAACGTGCTGGGTGCTCGATGTTCTGATATAGAATAAGCTCCCCTGCAGTGCGCTAAGTAGACGCAGATCCATTCCACCGATCATCCCACTTCCGAGTGACAGTTTATGATTATAAAGATAATATATATATATATCAAGGCAGTGATATATATAACATGTCCCCACGTGATATAACGGCGGATCGAGCAAGATGTTCTTCCGATATATCGACATCTATCGAGCTGATGTGACGCTGCACAGACGTCTGAACACTAGTAGCAAGATAAATAAAGAGGAGATTTATATTTCGGTTAGGTATACGTAGCTCGTTACCTCCACATGCTACTACCTCTGACTATCGATCCATGCAATCACAAGCTTGCTCCGAATAACTTCCTTGGTGTTCAAATTCACAGCGCTTGAATTTGTCGAGCAAGTAATGTCTAGTGTCAACTTCGTGTAACGGTCGATTGTCTATTCCAGAGTGCGTTTTTTAAAGAAGAGCCGGAGAAAGTCTGATGGATGTTAGTTCTGGTAATCGTTAGAGTTGAGTTTTCGTACATTTGACCTTGACTGATCTATTTTTACCGCGCATTCCAATTCTATATTAGCAGGCGGCTCTGAGCTTCTTTCCCATTTTAATGCCCGAACTTCCCAGGCCCATATCAGAACTCCCTCGCTTCAAAGAGGACCCTGAACTCGATATCACGACACTTGGTAGTTCAATGCCCTCTGCCATTCGGAGTGGCAAGTTTCCGTGAAGATCATCCATAGGTGTACTCCACATTTCGACATCGTTGGTATTTTCAGATGAGACCCGAGAACGTTCATCGATGGCGTTTTGAATCATGTCAGCCAAAATTGTATAGGAACAAGTCAGCGCGACATCTTTAGGTGTTTGGCCACGGGAATCCTGGTGTGAAGGATTGCAGCCATGCTTGAGAAGTAGCTTAGCGCCATCTGTGTTTCCAACCCAACAGGCAAGGTGTAAGGCAGTTTGTTGACCAGACAATGGGATATCGGGGTTTGCTCCAGCTTCAAGAAGGAGTTGCGTTGCAGGAGTATTTTTACACCTTATTGCAAGGGCGAGCGGTGTGAAATTCTGGCAGTTGATTATATCCAAGTTCAGAGCGGCCTCCAACGTGAGTTTTATTTTCTCCAATGATACGTCTTCGTGCGTCTGAGTAAGATCATGGAGTGGTATATTGCCATTAGGATACTGAAGAGACATACTGGCTCCTTTGTCAAGGATGAACTTGTAGCCTTTTGATGATATGTGCGGTCTTGCCGCCACATGAAGTGCGAATTGCCTGTCTAGCTCCAAATTGCTAAAGCCTCGACCCTGAAGGGCTAGAGCATCCCAAATGATCGAGGCATTCTTGACAATAGCGAGCTCAAGCCATTGAGCTTCTGATATTATACCTTTGTCAGATAACTTTCGAACGATGAATTTTGCGACCTCCAAGCTGGTAGAATCAACTGCAAAGTATAAAAGCCTTGTCATGTCTGCAAGCAAATATTTATTGTCCAAAGATGCGTAGTATTGAGCGGCTTGTGTCGAGTTCCAGAGTAGCCGAAATGTGTCCAAATTCCAGTCCTTCACTACGCACATTTCTAGCGGAGAAAATCCGGAAACGTCTGGCGCCGTTACATTCACCCCTTGAATAACCAGAGACTCAATAACAGCATCCCAGCCTTCAGCATCAGCATCATCAGCAATAGCAGCCTCAATCAATACAGAACACAAATCTGTGGTTCCTCCTATAGCAAATAAACCGTCCCAGTGTTCGTTCATGGCTAAGAGTTCCTGCGCTACCTCATAGTTGTTGTACTTTATTGCAAGAGTAAGGGCGCCTTGAAATATTGTCCTTGTCGTCTCTGGATTGTCAGAGATTTTGCGAATAAACTGGTATAAAAGTTGGATTAAGGCCTGTAAGGAGATATCTGTCTTTGATGAACGGACTGAACGGTTAAGCTCCTGATGTACAACAACTGGGAAAGCTTCCGGGGGTGTGATGTTGAATAAAGATGATAGATATTTTCCTTCGCATCCTAAGGAAAGCATTTGAAGTGCGAATGAGAAAAATTCGAGATGAACGCTGGGATCCAAATAGATTGGAAAGGCACTAGCAAATGTTTCCACAATACTCATCGCACCTTCCAGAAGCGCACCATTTGCTTCGAACAGATCATCTGGCTTTTTGAGGATGACGTCAAAGTCTTCAGATAAAATGGTACAACCTGAATCTAGCATTATCTTAGTCGCTGCGAAAGGTTCATACATCTGTATGTCAGCCTCGAGAGCTAGCTGGAAGGCAGTGCGGCGTCCATCTATGTCAACTTGTGCACGGGCGTTCGCTCCAGCATTGAGCAACGCCTGAATGGTTTCTTTTTGACCAGATTGAGCCCAGAAATTCCATCCGTCGTCGTCGGGATACCATGCTCTGGCTAACTTCAAGGCGCAGTTCAACGGCTTTCCAAATTTGGATGTTTTTTCCACATCCATGCCAAGTTTGATCAAAGTTACACATACGTCATTCAATGCAAAGCATGCTGCCCAATGAAGCGGGGTTGGATCAGAGTCGATGTTAGTATACAACTCAGGCTCATCCGCACCAATACCATAATGGCTCTGGAACCAAGTAAGCGTCCACAGTCTAAATGTGGAGCTGCGCTCTGGGTTGAACAGTTGATCTACAGTCTCATGAATTGAGTCTGATTTGGATCGTCGTAAGTGTAAAGCCCAGTTTATTGCAGCATATTCGAAGAAAGCGCACTTGTCTCTGAATGGTTTCCATACCTCTTCCAGATAACATTCAGTGGGAAGCAAAGATACAGGATCAAGAGAAGATATAGGCTGATCATCAAATGACGTGAAAGACAAAAATGTCACGCATGCTTCAGCAAGTAAAGAGTGGTCGCCTGATAGTCGGTAGTCAATGTATTGCGGCTTCAAAATCGGGTCGATGGATATGAGAAACTCCTTCACGGTGAAATGGGCAAATTCGAGCCCTGTCGAAGACCGATTCCTGCGAACCAAGCTGCTACACCAGTGTAAGAGCTCGTCTTCGGTAGTCATTCCACTAGAATCAAAAACAGTATCTCCACTCTGTACCGCCAGTGCCTGAAGCAACTGCGTTGTTGTTAGGGGGTAAGACTCTTCGGCATAGCCAATCCAATAAAGCACATTTCTAACCAATCGTCGGTTTTGTTTGCTGCTTCGATTAACTCTTTCCAGAATTCATTCATATGAACTTGGAAGATCGGGGGGTAGCTGTTTGAGAGCTTCGCGGCGATCTCGATCAGTAGTACACTCGCAAAGGTAATCCATTTGGCAAGCAACCCATCTGAACCTATAGTATACCACAATGTTAGAGGCTATATCATCCAAACATGGCAGGTGTCTCAAACTCACATTCCATCGGCGCCTTCTATAAGGGTCTTCATTATGTGCTCCTTTAAGTCGCGATCCGTGATGTTTAGTTTTCGCGATTTGGTTCGTCTTTCAATCTCCGAGCCAACATATAGACAAAGGTCTGAACTCATGGCCGCAATGCTGATTTTTTCAAAGTCTTCCAGTACGTGGCCAATATCAACTTCCGGACGGCTAGCGAATAAAGTCTTTACCGATCTTGAATGATCATTGAGGCCTCGGAGAAATCTTGTAATATCTGCTCTATCCTCGGAAATTTCATCCAATCCATCGACGACAATCATTGTGTTCTGAAATTGGGCTGAAACTTTTACTATAAGATCACACAACTCTTCTGACGTAGAGGCTCGAATTTGACGATCTTTGGTAAAATGGTCCCGGTAGAACGTACTTAGATACTCGAAACATTCTTCGTTCTGTGCAATCAACTGCCTTGCCAAGGACCCCAAAATGCAAAGAGGATTGTGAGTATTTGCGTCCTTGTAATCGCAGTAAAAGAAGGCAAGAGCTACCCCTTGTGTCAGCTTGTGGAGTTCAAGACACGGGCTAAAGGTAGGCGAATACCATTTTGAGAGTCCATCAGTTTCTCAACTTCTTGAATTATCGAGGAACTCCAAAGGGTTAATAACAATACAATATAGGTCAAGAACAGTTGGGGAAGAGGAGGCTTACACGAGTATTGTCTTCCCTGCGCCGGCTGTGCAACGTTGTAAGTGATGGCACATGGAATTACAAAGACGAGATGGGTGGCTCTTACGTATGCCATTGATCCATAATTTCGTGTTGGCTTCTGATCTCCAAGTCTTGAATTCAGGCCCATCAGTAAACCATATGCCAGTTCCCGGCTGTCGAAGGCGAATGTTCGAATCTTGCCATTTCTGAGCTTCGATATTGCTCAAGAAATTCAACATCTGTAGTCTTTCTTCACCTATAATGGTACAATCCCATTAAACTTCTATGCTCAGGTAAACAAAGGATCTGCTTGACGGACCTATTATGATATGCTTTCTCTCCTCTCTGTCCGACTCAAGGTGACTCTTTAAGCCACGTATTCCATCCTGGATTGCGTCTTGTCTTGTCAAAACCTTAAGCACTGTCGACCTGTTTGTATTGAATTTAATCAGCTCTAGTAACCTCAAAGTAAAAGAGAGTAATTACATTTCAGTAGCACTCATTGCAAGGACCATGGTTGATTTGTGTCGTTGCATATCTGCCAACAGCTCTTTCGTTTCTGACTGTCTCAGAGGCCATCGGATTTTCTGACCTATAGATAACGGAGTAGATGGTAAGGCTGCCTCAAGAGAGCATTGGATCTGTAACAAGGTCTGATAACACGCTTCAATATAATGTACCTGAGTCGTGGGGTCAAAATTCGCGCTGTCTTCGTCCTCTTCCAGGAGCTGTATCGTATTGCTAAGGCTATGGAGAACTCCGGAGAGAACGTTGACCTCGTGCACGAGGCTCTTTACTGTTTTCTCGGCATTTTTGATTGTTCTGAGGAACTTGTAGCCTCGTTCCACGACGATGTCAGCCAGCGAAATCAAGCCCGCAACACTTGCGGCAACACCAAGCACTTCTGCCATTTTGTCGCAATATGTGACTGAGTATGCCTCCAAGGACAACGTTGCGCGGGGCTCGGCATATATATGAGGTCGAGAGTCCGGGATATACGCTTCGCCTCAATTGTGGTGTCTGCCTCGTTCGCCTCGTCAGAATTCAGCCAATCAAAATGTCATCCAGAAAAGTTCTCGGGCTACACAGCTGCTGGAGCATACCCAATAAACAATTATGACTTTTCAATTGATAGAACTTCGGGGGCAAGGCAGGCGGCAAGGTTTACTCAGGGTTTATGCATTTAGCCTCACGTGCGTACGCCGCAAAGAGACATATTAAATCCAACTCTTTAGCTCTTTCTCCTCTTCCTTCCTCCACGGAATCGCCCATCTTCTCCTCTTGACCCCTGGATTCCGACTTTCAAGCGGTACTACAAACATTTGCTGTTCAATCCCAACATGCGTCGACCCATCGGTCCCTAAATATCGTCCATACGCATATGTCATATCCCCCTTTTCACGAACATTTCCGTTGAAATCTTCGGCCGCCCGACTAGCAACCAAGTACCCCATGATAGCAGCAATCGATGTCGGCATTCGCGGCAAGAACTGCTTTGGACGGTATCTGTAGTACAAAATGGCGACAATGAGATGGAGTGCTAAAAGAATGATCGTGATCTTGAACATGGGAGGTGAGATGAAGAGCCGGGATTCGGTAAAAGTGGCGACCACAGCGATGGGTATATCCTGAGGCGCTTTCGCGAATATATGGTCCGTGTTGAGTCCGATGAGGATGGCGAAGAGTTGACGATACAAGGTTTGAAGCTCTGCTATAGCAATTGCGGCGTCTGGGACGGGAATTTCGGGGTCGAGTAGTGCGGAGGAGTTTTGTTGATACCCAAGAAGCGAGTTGAGCCAGTCTGATGCCAAACTATCGTTATGCCATCTCGCATTTTGAGCACTAGGGGGAACTAGGAGATCCATCATGTTGTTAGTGAAATTGCCCTCACTCGAGCTATTAGTAAAGTATTGTGCTTCGTTGGTTGTATAATTGCTTGTCTTCTGTGAACTCAGAATACGGCTGTCCGAGTCGATGAAAACATTGAACCTTGCAGCCGAGATCTGTGGAGTGCAAGCTATAAAAGTATGGTTTGTTTCAATGGCTCCAGAAAGTTGTTCTGTGTTGAACTGGGCTCGCACTCAGCCTGCGATGAAGAGACGGGAGCAGAAGTCACTTGTTTTCGAGTCCATGTCGTAATAGATAGGAACCATGGTTAACATAATTTCTAGAGCTGATGGTCCTGTTGGGTTATCGAGGCCAGTTGCATTATACGCGGCGCAGTTGATGCGGTCGCCATCTGGAAGAACATGTGAAGTTTGCAAATTTATATTGCTGCTAGTCGCATTCTGGAATGGTTCAAATACAAATGTATGGTTGCTGCTTTGGTTTGCTGAGAGTTCGTAACAGGTCAGATCCGAATGAAACCCTGTTGTCGCGCCTTGCACATCTGGCAGAAGAAAAGGGTTTCCAGAGTTGGTAAAGGATGGTGGGGTAGTGTATTTGAAAGGCATGTAGGAATTCTCACAATCGATCCAAGGTGGCAGTTTCGTATGCGCTGTCAAATTTGACATAGTAGCGTATAGATGGTCAAAGTAACTGGAATAATCGTTGTTCGTGGCATACGAAGCCCAAATATAAGATGGGCTAAATTCAGGTAGGAGGCTTTGAGACCCAGCCATCATCATTTTAGTAACAGTTGGTTTTCCGTTGATCAAACCACTCAAAGAGACAGCGAGAACATTAGTCGATGCAGCTACAATGCACACTGCTCCAAGAAGGAAATGATGAGATCGAATTGCCCGCCAGACAACAAATGAAGGAGGCAAGGAAGTGTATTTCGCATCGTGAGTTGTCTCCGGCTTTGCGTTCCACCTCCTTAGTTCATCAAATGGCTGCAAAAGGCATATCATGCGGTTGAGTATGACCCACACTGGTTCAAGTAAAGTCGCAAACGCGGTTGGAAGATAATTCTCAATGATTGACAGCACAACTGCACTTTTGGAAGGCAGAGGAATGCCTAAGCATGTCTAACTTGACAGCCCAGAAGCTTGATGTACAGCGAATATGACCTAAAATGCTATTCTCACAATGATAAAAGTATGCGAGTGATGATCGAGATATATGGATGGAAGATCCTTAAAGACCAAGTGAAACCCAACACCAACATGTACTACATGAGGAATAAAGGAGCTGCAATGGGCCCGTGTCAATTGAGAAGCACCCATTGGCTTGTAATCCAATACATAGAGCTTGGATGGGAGGCTGCAGTAGCGGGTACCTGCGAATTCGAGAACACAGTAGTAAGCGCTTCTACACAATTGTTTGGAGGCGCCACAGCTTCCGCGTTCAGCTGGGGGGTTTGTTTTTGACTTCAATGGCACCATGATGCACTTGCACTATTGATAGAATTCTTTCAACCCACGGATAGTGACCGTGAGACTTATGTTGATATGCAAGGGGGGGTAGATCAAAAAAGCAAAAAATAACAAAGAGTGTTCGTTTTCTTGAAGGTTAAAATAGAATATACGAAACCCCTTAGCGCCAGAGAAGCGCTCGGCAGTCCTATAGTACAGTAAGCGCCCACTTCACCTCCACCAACCACGAATTCCTTCATATTTTCAACGGGCCAGCAATGAACGAAGATCTCGATAATGAAATCGAAGCCATAAACTCCATATATGGCGACAACTCGCTGATTATCTCTAACGAACACGATATATATGTCCTCCATCTACCCCAACATGACGCGTCGTTGAGACTCCGATTCCCCAGAGACTACCCCGCCACCCCTCCAGCTGTGCTTGGTACGGAAAGCTCTGGAGAACATAGTCGAAAGGGAGAAGCTGCCCATGTTGTCGAAATCTTTCGAGATGTACTCGGTGAGCTGTATCGTCCAGGGGAGGTGTGTTTGTTCGATGTAATTGAGGAAGTCAACAATCTTTTACCTGATACGAATGGAGAGGACGAAGTCACCGAGGACGCCTTGCCTATACAATACGAGGCAGAGGCCGCAGATGTAGCAGAGGGAGAGGTCAAAACTGTGGAAGAACCGCCATGGACACTATCCGAGATCGTAGTTGAATCAAAATCCGTATTCATCGCGCGCTCCGCTCCGGTCTCCTCCCCTTCCCAAGCAAATTCATACCTTCAACACCTCCTCGACAACGACAAAAAGGTCCGTTCAGCATCACACAACATGACAGCCTGGCGCATCAAGGGTGAAAATGGCGTTACATATCAGGATTGCGACGATGATGGGGAGACGGCTGCTGGAGGCAGGCTGCTACATCTGATGCAGCTGATGGAGCTATGGAATGTCATGGTGGTGGTTACGAGGTGGTATGGGGGCCATCAGCTTGGGCCGAAGAGGTTCAGCATTATCAATACGGTTGCGAGGGATGCTTTTGTTAAAGGGAACTTTGTGAAAGAGGATCCTGTTCCGAAAAAGAAAGGAAAGCGGTGAGGGGACCACCTCCGCAAACATTCACTTTACCTTTGCTGCTCCTCCAGCCCATTCACTCACAGCGTCCAAAGCGTCGTATCCGGGCATGGAATGACTATTAGAGAATGCTTGAACATTTGAATGCTTCAACTTCTGGATCACATCAAACCTACAGTCATCGCAAACCAAAGGTCGGCCATCACCCCCACGAGATGACTTGCGAGGCTATAAATTTTGTCATAACGCGGTTCAGAACTGATGGTTGTTTAGAGTATTGCCTAGATGCAACCATTCAGTGAACATGGCGACTCCACGAATCTTTAAACGCACATTGCGTTTCTTGGTCTTCAGGGTCATGATTGTTTGAGCGGTATCATATGCTACGCCTATATTTCAACTTTCTGAGGCATTACCATCATCTAGCCGGGGTCTGAACTAAAATTCGAAATAAAGGAGAATATTGAGCCATAATCAAACACCTAAGATGATTACTTAAGGTATTTAGCTGTTGAGATAGCTAGTCACGCTAATAATAAGCATCCTCAAACGCGCACGGATGTTCCGTTGAAAGATGCACTACATCCACCTAATGACTTAACAAAGTCTTCAGCCCTCCTCTTCTCAACAATACCCCGGCGGCAATTGCTCCTACAGCAGAGGTAATCATCCCAGCCAATATGACCGTATTTGAAACCTGAGTCTCTTCCACCACCCTCTTCCAGCTCGTCTTCCCCTTCATCTCCCCCTCCACCTTTCCCGTCCCCTCAATATCAAAATCTTCCCAATCAATAAAACTCGTCCGCTTCTGATACGGAATCACAGCATCAGACCAATTATTCGTAATCAGCCCCGCCTCATTCTTATACCACGAGTTGCAATTCGGATCCGCAAAGGCAGATTGGGAGAGTCGGGCTTGGATCTCATTGTTGTAGTCTTCGACGACTTGAGATTTGGGTTGGATGGACAGGGAGCTGCCGCGTTGTTTTGCGAGCTGGATTTGGGTGATGAGGGTGTTGATGTACATGGCTTGGGCTTCAATCATGAGGATTATGCTGTTGTGGCCTAGGTTTGTGTTTGGACCTGGAATGAATGGTCAGGAGAAGTAAGGGAAGCGAGAGGGGTCTGCCTACCATAAAGCATACTGAAATTTGGCAATTCAGGGACCGTCATCCCCAAGTACGCCGAAGCACCCCCAGCCCAAATATCCTCGATGCTCTTCCCACCCTTCCCATATATCTGAATCGGGTACATAAACTGCGTTGATTTGAAACCCGTCGCATACACCAATACGTCAAACTCATACTCTTTCCCCTCAACCCTCACCCCCTTCTCCGTAATCCCCTCAATACGCCCCGTCTCTAAGTTAACATTCTCCCTCGCAAACGCAGGAAAATAATCATCCGTGATAATCACCCTCTTACACCCCACCGCATAATGCGGCTGCAACCTCTCCCTCAACTCCGCATGCTCGTCCCCCGGAAGCTGCGCTGCCATATGCGCCCTACTGACACCCATCATATAGCCATGCACCGGACTCGCCGTCTCAAACACGACATCGAAAAACCCCTCTCTGAAATCCATAAGCGCGGCCCTATACCGTCTCCGCGCCCACGGCACATACTTGTACAACGCTTGCCTGGAAGGGGAAATCGGCACATCGCACCGGGGAATCACCCAGTTGGGCGTGCGCTGGAACACGGTAAGGGATTTGCACACGCCCGCGATCTCGGGGATGATTTGCGCGGCTGAGGCGCCCGAGCCTATGATTCCTACTTTCTTGTCCCGCAGATCGAAATCCCAATCCCATCGTGCGGAATGCATGGCTTTGCCATTGAAACTGTCTATTCCTGGTATACCATCCGGGTATTTCGGCACGTTTAGTTGGCCGACTGCGGAGACGAGGAAGGAGGAGGTAATGGTGTATTCCTTGCTGAACTCGGAGTCTTTGCTTCCCTGGCGCTCGGCTTTGGAGGACCATGTTTTGGAGCTCTCGTCCCAGCGGGATGAGGTGATGGAGGTGCTGAAGCGGATGTGTGCGTAGAGGTGGTATTTGTGCGCGATGGCGATTAGGTAGGCGAGGATTTCTTCTTGGCCCGGGTATTCGCGTGTCCAGTTGGGGTTGGGTTCAAAGGAGAGGGAGTAGAGGTGGCTCCAGACGTCCTGGGGAGTGGAGATTGTTATTATTATGATTATTGCTTGGGGGTCTGGGAAGTCATTGGGGAAACGTACGCAGCAGCATCCGGGATAGCGTTGGTAGTTCCAGGTTCCGCCTACTTGGTTCCCTTGCTCGACTATGATGAAATTCCTTCCGTTACCTTTGCGTATCATTTCAATTGCTATCATCAACCCAGAGATTCCAGCCCCGATGATTAGGACATCGGCTTTGTTTGTATTTCGGCCATACTCCGTACTTGGACTAGGCTTTTGGTCTGTCATTCTTGTGTTTCGTAGTGAAAGAGGAAGGTTAAAGTAAAGTGCAAGCAGGCGGATATTCAGTAAAGGGGAAAAGTGAAGAAGAGGAATATCTTTTATAAGCAAGTACAGCAGCAAACAGAACATGCAGCCAGAGAGAATGTCAGCCGGAGCACTTGCTTGAAAACCCGGAGTCCCGAACCCCGCACGGCTTCGTGCGAAAATATATTAGGATAACATAGTGTGTTGCTGGAAATGGACATTGAACCGAGGTCAGTTGTATTAATGTGGATGGATGGATGGGTTGTACTGGGAGGACGTTGAGGTGATCTTCATAGTACCCCACACTCCGGGGAGGGCAGCTTACTATAAAACGCCCACGCCCCACTTAACGCAACTCTAAACTTTACCTTGACATCAATATCGAATGTCTGAACTTTAAGAGTTTTTTATTGCTTTCTAGTTTATTGCGATATTAGCGTCATACTGAAGTGTGATTGAAGCTGGCTTAGACAATCACCCCGATGCAACATTCAAGACTTTTTGTTATATTTTGGGAAGAAGAATTTGAATTGACTGCTGTTCTACAGTGGAAAGTACGCTGTATATATAGGCTTTTCAGGCCCTCTAATGCCCTCTGAAAATGCCTATACATCATCACTAAAATGTAAATACATTATCGCTTTTGGTGTATGTTGAATGCATCACACTGAAAGCGTATATACACCACTTTTAGTGTATGCTGAATGCATCGCACTGAAAGCTTAAATACATCATCGCTTTTAGTATGCATTCCACTGAATGCATCACACTTTAGTGTATCCACATTTTAACACTTTTCCTTTTGAAGTTATTCACATTCTCACAGAGTTCAATAATTATGCAGAGTTTTATTTATAAGATATCTTTATAGATGACTGTTCTATTCTAAAATATGATGTTTCCTACTCCTGATGCATGTCCAAATGAAGGTCGCCATGAAGCAGAAAGGGTATTCCAAAAAATGCCATCCATGCCAATTCCCATCCAGGAAAAAAGAATGACAACGCTTATCGACCTGCGATTAAGCGTGGAAGCCCTGTGGCACAAGAGCGCGACGAGGGACTTTTCGAAGGGAACGCTTGGCTCCGACTGCCTTGACGTCGATACTGGCTGATTGACCTGCGGTACAGGTCGTTCCTCCAGCTACTGGCTGAGCTGCGCTCCACACTCCACTTGCGCACTGCTGAAATTGGGTTCCGCCGATGCAGTTCCACGTTCCCTCAGGAGAGCATGCAGCACCAGCAGCCATTGCCGATCCTGAACCCGTGGTTCCGGTGCTTGCTGGTGTTGATGCGGATGAAGCCTGAGTTGCGGCTGGCTGGGAAGCAGCTGGGGATGCTTCAGAAGCGGCTGGGGCTGAGGACGCTGCGGGGGCTGCGGTCGGTGCCGCGCTGGCGGCTGAACTTCCTCCAGGTTGGCCGGCGAAGACTCCTCCTGGGAGGGAAGATGCAGCGACTGGGGCTGAAGCAACGGGAGAAGACCCAGCAACAGGCGCGGATGTTGGTGCGCCTGAAGCACTAGTTGTAGCGCCAGAGCTAGATCCACCTGACGCTGCTCCACCTGCAGCTGTTGAGCAACCAATTGGCGGGCCGGCATCAGTTTTCGTGGCTCCTCCCAGAGATTCCACTGAGTCTCCAGGATTGGGGAAGATCGTATCCATGGACACGCCGGTTCTGCATCCAACTCCTGCACCTTCTAGGTTGGCGACGAACATATCTGGAAGTGCGTCGAATGCAGCTTGATCACGCTGGACGAGCTGGGTGGCGTTGCGCCCCTCGAGCCCTTCCTCGTCACGCTTGGTAGATGCACCAGTGAGTGTCACGGGTGCGCAGTTCATATACATCTCGCGATTTCCGATTTTGTTGAACCATGTCCACGCTAAAGTTGCGTTGCCAGTTGGCAGATTGGAAGGAATCTTGAAAGAATACGTGCTTGGATCGGGTGAATCTGCGGATTCCCCATTGTTTCCTGCTACACCCTCGATCGGGCACCCACCGATGATCGAGTGAATGACCTTGAACTTGCTGGATTTTGAGGGCGCACTATCATAGGTAACGGAGATCTGACAACTACCTCCTCCGTGGGTCGCACCTCCGACGAACTTAAGAGGCTGGGTAGACCCGAGGGCCATGGAGTTGCTGGCGCCTTGGGCATCATAAACCCCAGAGCGTTGTTTGCAAGGGAAGTCGGCCCCCATGCCATCGAGTGGAGAGTTGGTCAGGCTAGACTTTCCGTATGGAATGGGCGTTGTCATTATCATGTGAGAGCTTCCAAGGACGGCAAAGCCGAGAATGACTGCGGTTGATGTCGTGAAATGCATGCTGATGGATTTTCTCGTGCCTGACAAGATGAATCTCGTGGTTGAAAGTGTTTCGGAGACGTTGTTGTGTGTTTGCTGTGTGTGGTGGTTTGGGTTTGTATAGGATGCTAAGATTCAGATTAGAGAGGTGGTTAAATACTCCACTGGAGGAAGTTGTTCAATGCTATTGTAAAGTCATTGACGGGTGTTCCGAGAATAACAAAGAATATTCCATTGTGTGTTATTGCTCATTAACTTCAGGGTGGGTGAATAAGAGGAGTCAAGCGCTATTGTTTCTTGTCGAACAATGAATGAAATGTATAGAACAGTCCAGCCAGTCAGGGGCAAACAATAGGGAGACTAGTAACACACATTTTCTGTTTTGATGCAATGGGAACAATGAAAATTCGACCGAGTAGAATAGAATAGTTGACAATGATTGTTTCTCGAGAGTGTTCAAGGTTGAAGGAATGTACGTGGTCTGGCCCGCAGTATTCACAAAGAATCGAAGAAAGACGAGCAAAGGACTAGCCCAGAGAAAAAGCAAGTGCTTGAGAAATGTCAAGAAAGACGATGCGGAAAAAGGAGATGTAACGGGGGGATCTGCGCATCTTATATCCAGAGATCTGATGCTCATTCTGACCGACCCAGGTTTTTCACTACTACTGCAGCCCCTGCGTTCCCCAGTCCCTCGATCTTGAGTATATTCCAGGGGAAAGCGTCGGAATCATCGGTTATGGTTGTGTAAGGTAAGTGGCCCAGGGCCCCTCCATGCCAAACGCTCACTTTTTGCCCCACCATGACCTTAAATTCCAATATCGCCAATCATTGGAAAAGTCTGTGTGACCACTTGTACGGGTATTATTGTCGGCGGACTGAACATCCTGGACCCAAGAGAATCTATTGGATACAAACGGGGACCGATTCTCAGGGGCGGAACGACTGACGTGCAGAGAAGATCAGGGGTGCAAGGGGCTTGATAGGCTGCAGAATGTTTGTTTCAACCTCGACGAAACTTTAGCAGCGCAGAACAAGGATCACAATCGATAAGCATAACCCCCCGACTACCTAAGGTACTGTAGCCATGCAGGTATAAGGATAAGATAGGGGTAGGTAGTGCCGGGAAGGGCGTTTTCCTTGCGACATGTGTGAAGGACGGTGAGATGTGGTGAGAGGAGGAGATGCTTCGCTGGGATGCAGTTGTAGCTAGCCAATCAAGTCTTAGACCCATCGTCTAGAGTAACCAATTAAAGCATGGCATGCGATGGCAACGGCTACTGGTCTGGTTGAATGGTTCCAAGCTGCATGTTCGGGGCGCACTGGGTTGGCCACTCAGCGACTAAACTCTGGACACCGCGTTTCTCGTCCGAAGGTCAAGAGAAAAGGTATAATATGGAGCTGCACCATCCCCCCTGAAGTTCCTTGGGCGCCGGACCGAGGCGATAGCTGCCGTAGAGTCGTAGACTAGACTCATCGGGTGTTTGCCTTACTTACAGTACAGTACCTTACCTTACCTTGAAACTCGCAGCGTCTCAAACCAACCGATCTGAGAGTTGCGAGTGGGAGCCCTTTACTTGAACATAATGTTCTGATTCGCAGTGTTTCTCTTCTGACAGCGCGCGTTCTCAATGAAGATTAATTCCGGGAGCAAAGAGTCATTGCATCCCAATCCCCTCCCTCGAATCGTTCGGCAGTGAAACAACAAGAAGTCGGTAAACTTTTCAAGCTTACCTATTCTTCAGCCACAGCCCATCTAAGCCTCATCTCCAGGTTCATGCGTGAAGCTCTTTGTTCATGCTCTTCGCTCTGGTGGCGAGGTTCATACGAGGAACTCGAAGGCATTCCATGGAATCAACGCCAAATGCTCGTTCCTGCAGTCCAGAGTTTAGACTTCGAAGCCTCAGCGGCCCAAGCTACGACCTGGATGGCAGGGCCAGATTGACGGCCTCGCCTAGATGTCTCTCGCCCAGCTTTTGATAACAATCAATCATCGCCTTCGCATGATGGTAGCCTTTACTGACTCATGCCGTGTCGAAATCTTCCAATTTGGAAGCGGCGAAGGCATACCAAGTACATACAGGGCCAAAATACAACCTCGAGATCGTAAGTTCATTGCTTTATCGTCTAGTCTATCGTCTCTATATCTACATCCAAACGTTTTGCAGGTGTCGTCTCCCCACCAATAGATTTCTTCAAACCGCACTCTTCAAAACCTCCCCCTCACCAGACTTACTCGATTCTTTCCGAACCCCCCGTCCACCAGTAGGATCATTACCACCCAAAGCAACAGCCTCATCAACCTCTGCTACACGTCAAAACCATCCCGTTTCCCTCTGTATATTCAGCACTCACCTCGATACTCATCGCTATCATCCACCCACCTATGCAGCTTCTCCCTGCAAAACTCCTCGAAATCCCACTCCCTCTTCTCCAAGCTTTCGTCCCCTGCCGTATACACATACGTCTCCGCATCACGCTGCTGGCCGTCCGACAACTCAACCTTCACGCCCTTCCTCGTATATTCGCTGCCCTCGAACACGTCCAAGTGGAAAATATCCGCGTCGCTCAGACCAGTCACAAACGTGCCCTGCACCGTGTGTCCTCCCTGTGGTATGATACCTGGGTAATCCACGCCGCGCACTCGGTGTCGACAGAAATCGCGGAGGAGCGCGGGGCGGATGGTGAGTTGCGAGGTGAGGAGTTTCTTAACGGGGTCTTGGTCTGCGTTCTCGTCGTTGTAGCAGACGCGATAGAGCACTCTCGGGACCATCTATGGCAGATTTCAGTACAAGTGTTCAAGTATGCTCCTAGGAACTGTGTAGGACCTTACTAGAGTACCTGCAATGAACACATTAGCTGTGTGTTCAGTATAGTGGGATGGGCTGGATGCATACCATAGAAGAAGGCGGTGCGGTCACCCATCTTGTCTGTTGTTTGAGTTGATTACTTCTAGGGTTGAGGTTCAAAACTTGCTCCCAGAAGATGCGCACCTGTCTTGTCTTATAACCTCATATTTCTCGAGGTTCCTCCATTCTTTCAAAGAAGTGCATCTACATGAAAGTTCCGATAACGATAAGGAACTGACTTTACCACTAATCCCAATCCGGCCATCTCAGTCAGTGCTAGAATGAGAGAAGAGAGTCCACTACTGCTAGTCCAAGACCTGAACCGAATTCTAAAATCTAAGCACCCGTTGAATGAGGCAGCGTGAGTAGGTTGTTTGTGGAGGGGCTGTGGAGTGTGAAGCTTGGAATAGAGCGATCTATAGCAAATAGAGTGAGTGTCTTTTAACAGGGAATCAACGTTCAAATAAGTATAATAAGTGAAAAAAAGTATAGCTACAATGTTCGAAGAGTCTTGAACTACCGTATTTGAGGTATTCTGCGATTCACAACTTGTGAATTACAAGAGTTGAAAACCCTTCTAAAATTAGGAAACGCTGACTAAGATTAGACTAGGGACACACCGTAGACTACTATACACGTAATCCAAATAATGCCACCCCATATAAAGATCACGTGAATAGCATATTGCTACCACTTCTTTCTCAAGTTGCGCTTTATTTGCAACACCTAGACACCAAGGTTGAACCCCATTCAGTCACGCAAACTGTGAGTCGTGACAAAGATCTGATGTCGGCTGTCCCACAGGCGAGGAAGAGTCCAAAGGGTTGTTGGACCTGCAAACGTAAGCGTTTTACCCATTTTTGGCCCAAGATTACTGACCCCACGTAGACCGTAAGATTGGATGTGATAGAACCCTCCCAGCATGCTCCAATTGCTTTCGCACTAGGAGGAAATGTCAAGGATATGGACTGAAGCTGATTTGGCCCGATGATGGCGACAAGCGGAGGTCCAACTTTCCATACCGCTCCACTGACTCCAATCATTTCATCCTCTCTGTAGGTGACTCGGGTGATCAGATATATTTCTTGAATACATCGGGAGAAGACATGTCAAAGAATACAAATCTACCTGCTTCAGCCATGGTAGGATGGCACTCTCGGTCGAAGTATTCGTTAGACCCGTCCACGAGCCTCAAATTTGGGTACGAGGCTGGATTGACAGGCCAGGAATCGTCTTTCCTGCAATACTGTCAGTAAAATAATTCTCTTTCGTGCCCGCAAGCTAATACTCTCAGATACTGATGTTTTGTCCCGTATGGTGACCACAATCGATGACATGAATAACGGATTCCGAACAACTTTACTTCCTGTTGCACTTTCACACGCGAGCAATGCAGCAACAGGGCTCCTGCATGCAGTATATGCACTCTCGGCTTACCATCTCAAGGGTCATGATGCGGCAATCAGCTACAAGCTTTTAGCCATAAGATATTTGTCACGATCCTTGCGGCAGGGCGAGGATGCGACCCTCGCTCAGTTCGCTGCAAGTATGATGCTGTGCATTGGGGATGTATTCGACTCTGCAGATGGAAGCTGGCCTTATCATCTTGCTGCCGCAAAGTCACTCAGTGCGCAGCTACCCAACGGAGACCATAGCAAGGATCTACTCTTTCTCCAGACATTACTTGAGTATCATGATATACTGAAAGGATTCAGCTCTGGTCGCATCTCAGGCACCGACTCTTTGTCCAGCGCAGCCACGATCACCATGCCCAGGGAAACACAGGAAGATACCATCATAATTGGAGCACTGGGCTGCTCGCGTGAGCTGATGAATCTCATAGCTCTCATCACACGTTTACAGAATTTTACACCTCTCCCGGATCATCTAGTGCTTTTACCAAATTTGATACACACTCGACTTGGAAATCTTGTTCAAATTCCCATCATCGACGCCGATGCACACTCCGGACAGCTTGACTCCAAACGCATCCTTCAAACGGCCGAGTTATACCGACTGGCCGCTTTGATTTACCTCCACACAACTCTTCTTCCACTACCGCGGCCTTCATCTCCACTTCAGTCACTAGTGTCACGTTCTCTTGAACTCCTAGAAATGTTCCCAGTCTGTACATCCCCATGGCCTTTGTTTGTTACCGCTCTTGAAGTGAACAATGATACCGATCGAGTCCGAGTTCTGCATGTTCTCGAAGTCATGCAACGAGTCAGAAGGATCGGCAATGTCGATGTGCTACAAAAAGTAGTCGAGACATTCTGGAAACAGATGGATCTGAGAGGTGCTGGGCATCATGATGAAAGATTTGATTGGAGGGAATTGTTTGACATGCGTGGCCGTCTGCCAAGTTTCATTTAAGGTTGGGACTCGCAACGCCAAAGTTACAAACTTGAAAAATTCCTCGACTTAACATTCGCTCACTCTTTCATAAAGTGAAATGGTTTTGCCGCTGTCGAATTGATATTCAAGCTCAACAAATCCGGTCGAGAGTAATGGCCAACGGTATCAATCATTGACTTCGCATAATCGATATCCTTCAGGTCAATATCGGCTTGCATAATACCCTCTTTTCCTGGTGGCCATGGCTCGCAAAGAGGCTTTCCATCCGGACCGTAAATCATGGTGAAGCCGCCACCAGGCTAATATGTCAGTCAGAGGTCCGCAACGAGGTTGTTCAACTTACTGTCTGGCAAACTCCACTGTCGACCAAATTCAACTTCTCCAAATTCCCCTCAGTCAAGACCTGTGTCGCGACAAGGACGAAGGCTTGGCCTTCGATTGCCAAGAATTGACTGCACAGTTGATTTGCAATTTCTACGGAACTTGAGATCAGCTTTTGATCAAATATTAACCATAGAGATCAAAGAGAACCCTGGGTCAATATGAAGGAAATTTACCAGTTTCGTGATAAGGCCATTTTATCTTCTTTGGATCTGGCAAAGGAAACATCGGAGGCTGTTGAAAATGAGCAAAGCAACAGAAGATATCCGGAGGAACGTACCCATCCAGCAACGTGGATTTGGACACCTTGGCAATACTCATAATATCTCAAGAGCGGTTGAAGATGCTCCCAACAATTCAGACCTCCCACTTTTCCAAATTTCGTATCAACAACAGAAGTCAACGAGTCCGCTTGCCCATCTCCCCAGATGGATCTTTCAACATGTGTAGGCTTGATCTTTCGTCGATGTAGAACTATCTCGCCTTCGGTACTGATGAACGACTGCGCAATATAGAGGCTCGCTCCGTCGCGCTCACTGTATCCGAGCACGGTGAAGACGCCTGCCTCTTTACATGCGGCTCGTATGCGATTCATTTCAGGGGAGACTTTGGCCATTGAATTTGCCATGTATTGATGGATTAGTTCGGTGTTTTCTACAACACTTTTGGTCCATATCGCCCTCAGCGAATGTAAGCCATTGACATCAACTTCGCAGGGAAAGATAGCCTTACCATGGATAGCCAGTTAGCCACACTTCAGGAAATCCGAGGACATTGACCCCATCCTTCCCAGCTTGCTGGATCAGAGCGATGGTCTTCTCTACCCCTCCTTGTAGATCGAGCCATGCCGGTTCCGCCTGAACAGCGCCGACTCTTACGGTTTGCGCCATCTTGGATGATTTCTGGAAGATTTGGAATGCTCGCTTCAAGATGTGAATGTCGAGTCTGCTCTTAGGTTTTAAAATACAGGAGGAGCTGGAGTTTTAAAGTTTGTTGTAAATTGTAATTATAGCCAATCCACTTCCAAGCTCATGCCATCAGAAATCGCCTTCCCTATTATAGCACCGTAACCCGACAGATCTCCTCTCTTGGTATCACAACCCAGAGCCTGACCTTGACCATCAATAGATAGGGAACTCGGTGTGATTTGGTGGCTTCCTGAAGCACCATGTGCACTCGACAGGAACATCAGCGAGACAGATCGCAAACTACTTCCTTCTCTTAATGCGGAGTCTATAGTAGTACAGTCCCAATGCAACTTCCAGGCTCAGCACGTCCTATGAAACATTGTTAAGGCGGCTATGATTGGATTCTCAGGGCGAGGCCAGTCGCGAGCTACGGTAAAAGAGGTTAGCGAGCTCGCAAACTCCTTCCTCCGTCCAAGCAGGACCAGGACTCACCTACCATATAAATTCTCCACACTTCGCTTACTTAGACAGCAGCTAGCATGGGGTTAAAAATGAGAACAGGAAACACCAGACAGGATCATAGATCTAATGCTATCCTACTTATAATTTGGCGCAGATAGCGTTGAAGTATTTTAGGCTGCAGATTTAAACAAAGCTGGCTTTAGCAGTTATGATTAAAGTCACCCCGGGCAGAGATCATAGGAGCATGCTGGGAAGCCTCTGGAGGAAGCGGACCGAAGTTGGTAAGTTCCTTGGCTCTATCGGCGGTGGCTTCGTTCCCCATCTCGACTTGAGACCACTGTTCTCTTGTGAAGTCGATTGTGAGTACCGCAAAAGAACAGCTCGTCCACAAATTCCTAACATAACCATATAGTGTTTCTGCGTAGAATTGACTAGCATTGCAGGCTGGTCGACGCTCGTTACAACTGTACGATATGAGCTTGATCCGCGTGGCGCATTTGAAGACAGACTACCGTTTCTTTCTCATACACCCAAGTGGGCCATTTCGTATCGTGCTGGCGAAGATAAATTCTCAAACCCAATTTTGAAGTTGGGGTTCTAACGAATAGAGTTGTTCATGAAATCTCTCTTCTCCAAAGTAGCAGCAAGCAAGCAATACCAGCATGAGCACTGACACAATCACTACCCTGAAAGCTGTGGGGGATATACAAACATGGTCGTTTCGGAAAGCATAGGCAGAAGTCCCTTAAATCTCCAACGGAAGCCTATGGTTGAGTGATGAACTAAGCTTTTGACTTGAAAGATATAGAACTATGTATCAATGTTCATTTCCTAGTAGGGTTTTTACATGTTCTACTGTGATTCAGCGGTTCGAAAATCTAGTGAACTAGACCTTACCTATACCAAGGCATTCCAGAAAACGCGCGTGAGGATGACCTGATGATCTTCTTGCCATCCTGAAAACGATTGCATCTAGGTAGGCAATGACCGCCATGGTACGGACATGAGAATGTCACTTTAGACCTGCTGCTGGTTGCATTCACTTGATATTTACTTCCAAATGCAATGGCACTATCGATTGTACGATCGAAGCATTACTAGAGAATAAGAGCACGTATTTGGTAGCAGATCGACGAACGACTGGATCAGGAGGACAAGCTCTGCCTTTCTAATTCGCATTCACACTAGTCAATTTAATTTACTTGCTATGAACGTCACTAGCGAGTGATGTTTCCTCTGTCGTCAAGAGGCGCGGTCTCTCCGAGCTGTTTTGGGGACTGGACTGGGCTGTTGATGGTTCGGCTTGTCGAAAAGCAAGGCGCGGAGACTATGACGATGGTGGAAGATACCTTCAATGATCATATGACAGCAGCTTCATTCCATGTCTTTTCCTGGGGGTACGGATCAAACTACTATGTTTACCACCCGGCTGGTCGTTTTCTGTTTCAGCTGGGCAGGAGCAATCAACAAACCTCCAGATCTGGAAGTCAAATTCAAGCTGTTTAAGATCGTTTCGGCACTTGGATCTTTCAGTCTTGGTGGTAGGAAATTGGGAAGTTTCACGAAAGATCCCAAGCTGATACGGGAGCATCGTTGTGTGTGATTGTGTAGCTGCTTAATGCGGTTGAAGTGAGCGATGAATGGTCGAGCTAAGTGTGGATGAGACATGTACAGAGAGGCGACTGTGAGCGGCTTTGCGTTACAGTGACCGTTTTCCGTCATGCTGTCCAGTGTAGCTTTTCCTTGATCAACTGAGGCCGCGTTAGTGCTTCTGGAGCACTGACGCAGCTGAATCGAAACTTGGCAAGAGCGTTCCATTCTCCGAAGCAGTGCATATATAAAGGATATGATGATCATGAATGTGAGTACAATGTCACTTTTCAGCTCAAATGGCAATGGTATACCTTCGGGTTGGAACGTTTCACGACTCGCAAGCTTCAGATAAGACTTTTGTAATGAGATATAGTAGTCGTCACAATATAGAAAGAATTAATGATAGTGCATCTACCCGTTAGGACTATTGCTGTATTACGAGAGGCTGCACACTGGCTCGCACAGGCACAGTCTTTATATTGCCCGATGCATCTGGTATCACCAGTAGATAATGTCCCGAGAAATGTACCGTTGGACTGTGGAGTAGCGAACGTTGTCCCTTTCCGTGTGAAGTAGAACACAGATACTACTACAAATTACAATTCCATGTACTACCACCAAACAGACTTTCTATACCAGAAGCAAAATATATATAAAGAGACCCTTGATCAACCACGTTGAAAAACATCTCCACAGCTCATCTTCTCTTCCAACTTCACTCACCTTCAGATATATCCCACCCAAGTTTCCACCCAGCCAAAATGAAGCCAATTTCAATGCTCATCTTCCTCGTCGGCCTCGCTGCCGCTGCGCCTGGCCCCGCCGTCGCGAGTCTCAGTCGTGACGAGACGATCGTCGCAGCTATCAAAGAGCGCCTCGCAACACGCGATGCTGCTCCCTCGAACCCAGTGCGTTATTTTCACACTTCACTCTTCCCCTCACCTTGGAAATAACTTTAATTCCCTTTCACAAATACTGATATACTGGCGTCCCATAGGGCACTTGTACCACGATTTTGGGTGCCTGTTACCAACAAACCGAATGCTGCTCCCGGCTCTGCTTGTCCGGTCTTTGCTTCCTATAGATCGACAAGCAGACAGACGCGACTTCATTGCTCCTTTTCAGACGTCATGCAGTTTCTTGCTTGGGAGTGGAGGATGGAGGCGGGAGATTGGTTGAAAATCTTCGGTTGTGGTTTTCCCATTGGGCTGTCCTGTTGGGTTTTCCCATGATCGGTTTGCGAATGCAGAGGATTTGTTATGCGGAAAGCTGAATTCAAAATCCTGTCTTTATATATCGATATGTTCTAGATCAAACGCGTCTTTCTGTCTATGTACTCGATCAATTGAAAGGGGGTTTTAGCCTCCTCTCTTACACATTGCTCACCACCCCACCCACGGCCCATTTATCCAAATTCTACATATCGTGGTTTCTCTTCCCAACTGTTTCAACTTCTTCAATATGCAAATGCGCCCCCGCTTCTCTCAACAAGCCCACCGCCTCTTGATTCCCTACCTTCCCTGCCAAGAACAACGGTGTATTAGCCGCGCGATTCCTCACATGAATACTAGCGCCTCTCTTCAGCAATTCTCTCAGCACATCATTGTTCGTTCCCACAGCAGCAAGATGTACAGCCGTGTTCTCCGCGTAGTCTTTTGCTCCAAGTAAATCAAACTGATCTCCATTTAACAGCTGGATGACCGACTCGAGATTCCCGGCCGCGATGGCGTAGCCCAGAGCCGTGAACACGGATTGCTGGTCTGTAAGTGAAGGCAAACCAGAAGCGGGATGTGAAAATTGAAGTTTTGCAGTCTCGGTCATTTCGCCGCGGAGGGATATTTGCATTTGCTTCGTGATCTCTTCATAGCTTAGCCCCGGCAGTGCTAGCAAGAAACTCAGCTTCGTCAATGCTGCCTCAGTCGTAAGGTCGTGCCCAAATACCACACCTGCATTTCCCAGTACCGTTGCAGGTGCATAAAGAGGAGATACAGAACCAGTCTGACATTGGCTGACGTTTACTATTACGATACCTCTTTTTACCGCTGCTCTGATGATGGATGTCAGAGAGCCGTCTTCACCAGAGGGCGCATTTCCCGAGCCAAAGGTTTCCAATATTAGACCACGCAGGCCAGGAACTCGCAACACGCCATCAATCATTTCTGGTTTGATGCCTGGGAAGATACGAAGGCACGCTACGTGTGCTGTATCGAGGTCAGGAATGACTTTGAAGCCAGCAATGGCTGTGGGACGTTTGATCAGGTTCCAGTTTACCTCTGCTCCCATTGCTGAAATTTTTGCTAAAGGGTCGCAGTTGGGGGACGCGAAAGCAGAGAACGAGGATGCTGAGACTTTGGTGGTGCGGTTGCCGCGGTATAAAGCCTCGTTGAAGAACAAACATACTTCTGGAATCGTGAATGTCCCAGCTATAATGAGAGATCCTAGCAGGTTGTCCACGGCGTCGGACTGTAGTGCAAAGATGGAGGCTTGTGAGCCAGTGAGAATGACTGGTTTACCGAGATCAGAGAGCATGAAAGAAAGAGCGGAGCTGGTGTACGCCAAGCTGTCAGTTCCGTGCAGGACGACGAATCCGTCGTACCGGGAGTAATTGTTTCGAATTGTGTTCGCAATCTGAGACCATCCTGCCGAGGAGATGGAGGACGAATCTAGAAGTATCGGGAACTCAAATGATGTATATCGGACATGCCTCGAGTATGTACTGAGAGGTGTTCGGAGACTGGGGAGATATTCCTCGGTGTTTGCATCTGTCATAACCTGTTCAATACCCCGGAGTTAGTTTGCCTGATGTGGTCAAAATTGGGAGGCTAGAATAAATCTTCCATATGACTTGAGACAACATTCCAGGGCTGGCTTGTTTCTGAGTCGTCCGCAAGAGGAATCCGAGAAAGGCTACTTACAGGTAGCGGGTCTAGAAAGTCAGCGATGTGTATCAATGCAGTCAATGCACACAAGTAACAGATCTAGAAGTATTTCGCAATGGACCAAAAATAGGCACTCTTTATAGCAGCTTTTTAATGTGCCACTCGGCCTGGAACATTAATAACGAACACTTCCTGCGCCAGACGGCGTGTACGAGTCGTAAAGCAAGGCGCAATTGATAATGCATGAAGAAGAATTCCTTGGTTGCTTCTCAATTAACAGAGTTGAAAAGGCCAACAGTCCTTACACTCTTCATTTCTCGTTTCTATCTCTGATAAAAGCCCAGGTCTTCCACCTCTTAAATAGCAATGTCACATCCAACTTTATAAACCAAATACATCCATGTGTACACAAAAGAAATCAACATACCAGGTTTACTTCCATCATTAAAGCTCGGATTTGGCTTCATGCCAGCTTCCAGAAACCCCCTTGCCGGCACCAAACCTTCAGGCGATGGTCTCATACAGATAGTACCGCCAGTCATGATAATCAGGACGCGGTTCTCGGGGTATTGGCTTGCCATTTTGACGATAGACTGCCGGCCAGCGGAGTGATATCGATATTGATGGTGGTGTACCTGCAAGTTTGCGGTCTTAGTTTTGCCTGATAACACCGAGATGAATTTTGGATTTCGAGAGAGAGCGGCTTTTATAATGTCTTAGATTTTGCGAGATAATCAATATAGATGGAAATCTGGAATACCTCTAAAGGAAGACAAGGAAGTGCTCGGAGAAGGTGGATAAGCTGGTTGGTGGAAAGTTACTTTTTGGTATAAAATGAAGAGCTGATTGATACCCAAGATCATGAAATCATCTTCGTCTTTTTAATAATATGGTCGAGTGAAACCTGCAAGCTTCTTGTGCGGGTAGGTTTAATATCAAAGCAGACAATATATTTTGGTATAAAGATAAAGATACGGTTCATCCGAGTTGCAATGTAGGATGCAGGGGTAAGAGAGTGATTGGTCCGCTTTCTGAATGGTGTGTAATAAAAATGCATTTTTTGAGTTTGAGTGAAAAAAAAAAAACTCTTGCTAAAGGGAAGAAATTGATTGACCAATGAGAGGAGAATGAAGGAGCTAGAGCTAGAGCCAGAGTTACGTAGGTAACTTCAATGACTTCTGTAAGGAAAAGAACGAACAAGGTTTCTTAACCTTCTAGAATTCTATAAAACAGAAATAGAAATAACCAAAGGGATTCATGTTCTATAATCCTTCTAGAAAGATCCTATTTACAGTAAGGTAAGGTAAAGTAAGGTAAGGTATGCATGGCATGGCATGGCTAAATAAGCAATTCTACCCCTCACCTTTTTGTCTTATCCGATCCACTCAGACAGGTACAGTGACATCGGCATCTATCAGATGCTACAAAGGAGGACATCATTTCCATCTATGAATAGTTTCTTTCCCTTCTCCTAGACCTGTATCGTCATTCATACAATACCGCAATAATACATACATACCCAAAACTCGCTTTCTTCCAACAGTGCACCCGTATTACAATCAATCGCACACCGCCAATTACCACCAGACGTTCGCGTCGCCGATCGCAAATAACTTTTTTTCTCTAAAGCACTACCTACCACCATCGGCATAAAAACCACAAATCTCCCCTCCCAACTCTGATGCCCCAAAGATTTGCATTCACAACAGCAGCCATGGCCGCCGCACTTGAAGAAACAACCGTCTCGTACGAAGACCTCGCAGCCATTGAGCGCGAATTCGACGATGTAGAGACTGAGATCAGTACGTTGCGTCCCCTTCCGTCAATCCAACGCAGATCAAACACCGAAGATGGGGAAAGAAGGAAAGAAGAAAACTAACGCGCCTTTTCTCTCAGTAAGAAAACAAACCGAACTCACCACCCCCCTCTACGCCTCGCGCCAAAAAACCCTCTCCGCAATCCCCAACTTCTGGCCCCTCGTCCTCGAGCAAGCACCCCCAGACATTGACCAATACATCCAGCCCTCGGACTCGGCGCTCCTCCTCTCCTCCCTAACCTCCTTCAGCGTATCGCGCTTCGAGGCGCCCGCCGAGCCGCGCTCCATCACCCTGCGCTTCGAGTTTAGCGACAACGAGTATTTCGAGGACGCGGTGCTGGAGAAGCGCTTCTGGTACCGCCGGGCGGCCGATGGCTGGCAGGGCTTGGTGTCGGAGCCCGTGGGGATCCGGTGGAGGGAGGGCAGGGATTTATGCGGTGGGTTGTTGGGGTTAGTAGGGAAGGCTTATGCTTCTTCTCCTGCTGCTACACCTGCGTCCAAGAAGGAAAAGACGACGACGACGACAAAAGTCACAGCTGAGCAGAAGGAGCTGGCGAAGACGATTGAGAATACCGGGATGGGCGGGCTGAGCTTCTTTGCGTTTTTCGGCTTCATAGGGCGCCGGATCAGCGCCGAGGAGAACGCGGCTGCGGTTGAGGAGGCGCGGAAGGGGGGCGCGAGGAAATTAGAAGAGGGCGATGGTGATGAGGGGGATGATATGGAGGATTTGGAGCTGGATATGAGTCTGGAGATCTTTCCGGATGGCGAGGAGCTTGCGTTGGCGTTTGCGGATGATCTTTGGCCAGGCGCTATCAAGTATTTCAGTAAGTTTTCTACTCTGCTCCTCTTCCCTTCTATTCTTCTCCCCCTAAAATCCTTACCAAAGAAAAATATACATCAACACAATAAGACAACTTCCTCACTAACACACCCACTCCCTCCAGCACAAGCACAAGAGCAAGACGCACTCTCCGATGCCGATTTCGAAGATTCAGACGCCGAAATCGAAGATCTGGACGATCAAGAAGTTGGCGCTGACGACGATGACGACGATGCAAGACCTACGAAGAAGCAGCGTTCTTCTTAGGATGTTCATATCTTTCTTGTTCAGTCCCTATTTGCTTTCAAGTTGAGTTGTACAATTGGATTGTATTTGGATATGGAGGAAACGAAATGGGATGGGATTGGACGGGGAAAGGGAGGGAGTGAAGTTGATCTTGTACAATACATAGATTTCACTCACTCACTCAGTTAATTCTCAGGTTAGGAAAAGCAAAAGCAAAGCAAAAAGCAAGAGCAAAGTTATTTACATGTCTGGGAGGGGAGGGGAGATAATACCCACTGGAGGGAGGACCTTAAGCTGAGAGAACAATACAAAATAGGATAGATACTTAAGGACGTTCCACCCAATTATTTCTATACAGCAAAACTGAATTCTTAATGATCAAAGCTCTTACCATCCACCTACTAGATGTAGACCAGCACAGTGAATGTATTCTGGAACGGATTATCAAAATATGCCTCCATTACTATGAGTGGACAATGATTCCTATCTATAGCTTAATTGTTCCGGTATCTTCCAAAACCAAGCAAACACCTAGCCGCAGCATCCATCCCGCCCGTAATGCAACCAGGTCCAACGCCAATCAGTTCCCGTCGCTTTTATGATATGATATGTATGCAATCCAAACGCACCAAACAAAATGCTGCTCGCGCCTAAATTGTGTATCGTGCTTTTCTCCACCTGAAAATTTCATTCCGTTCATGACGTAGCTCCTCGTAACTTTCATGCAAGCCAACTCTCCTCCCTTCTCGCAGGGGTATTTTCGCCAGTACCGCTTGTCCCTATGCCTCCTCCCATAACCAGGCCATCATCATCATCATCATCACTGTCTTCATTTTCCGCATCTCCAGGTTCAACATATTCGACTCCATCAACATCCTCATTCATCCACGTCGCCCCATTCGCCGCCTCTTCCAGTGGGAATACCTCCCTCGCGTACTCCTCCAGTCCCCTTGGTCCCTCCCACAGTGCAAGAGCCTGCTCCGGGCACCGTTCTTCCAGATTCCTGGTGCCGAAATAAAAAGGCTGTAGATTTCCATCCTCTTTCCCCAACTCGTACAGTTCCTCTAGGGCAACAAGCTGCTCTCGATATCCATTAGGTATCTTGACCTTGATATCAATACCCCCACGCTTGTACCGTACCTTTCTCCCCACACCTCTGGAAAACGCGGCGCATGCTTCAAGTGGAGACAGCATTTCGTAGGCAAGAGGTATGGACTTGCTGCCCCACTTCTGCAGACCGTCTTTGAATATTTGTAGCACGGCTGGCCCGACATCATGTTCAGTGTCTAGCCAAGGCAATGGCACGTTTGGGTGGAAAGGTGCTTGCCATATAAATGAGCCGTCGGGTTGAAGTTCCATACAGAAGAGAGGGTATGGAAGGGAGGTGAAATTGTTATTGTAGATGCCAGTGTACAAGTACGTTGTTCTCGGCGCGAGAGTGGGGAGAGATTGTATGTATTGTGATATCGTTTCTTTGGACGACCAGAGTGGAAGGGAAGGCCATGGCTTAGGCGCTGAAGGAGGAGTGTGGAGGGAGTAATTCGGCATCGTTGAGTAGATGTAGTGCTGCACGTTTGCCTTGACAGCAGCGTCTGCCACCGCCTTTCCAATGGCTACCTCGTCGCCCCAGAATGTCGTGTTGATAAACGCCAACTGCGCGCCACGGAACAGTTCAGAAATCAAATCGTGATTGACGCCTATATTTGGGTGACCGCCTTTTGCTCCCAGTGGAGGAGAGGCATCTTTCGGGGAGGCTTTGGTGTACAGATCTCCAACGAGCACAGTGACATTCTGCAAGGAAGATATCTCAGAAGCGACGATGCCGTCGAGCCTCCGTACTTGAGCCCGTACACGGTACCCAACTGCGGCGGCAACACGGATAAAAGAGGCTGCTTGCCTGCCTGAAGCATTGACAACAGCAATAGTTTTGTTTGGGGAGGGCATGGGACGTTTTGCTGGGCGCTCGTAGGCTGAGGCTGAACGGGGAGATTGAACGGCTTGGAGGCCCAGGAAGTCGTCGTTGTCTGGTAGGGAAGTGCACGGCCGATGCTTCAACTTTCGCGTAGGAGGTTCTTGGTTTGGTGCTGGAGGTACACGAGGTCTGATTGTGAGGGCAGACCTAGGTGTTGCGGAGGGCATGGGCGGTGATGGTAAATATATCAGTCGATGTTTCGTGACGATCAATCTTCAAGTGTGCTTTGCTGGATGCGCAGTGCGTTCCTCGGATCCAATCCTAAGACTAAGATCTCGAGCCTTTTCTTTCCTCCTCCTCGAGCGTCAAGTCGGATTCTCTAGATACCTTCCTCTCCTACTCCTCCTATACTTTTCCGCAATCAAATAGACCGGCACTTGGACCCCAAAAACCGTTTTCACCAAACAGAGAAATGTAGAGCAAGGCCCCAAAGAGAGGAATGCGGAGATAGCTCCAATTAGAGGAGCTCTTTCTCGGGTAGTTGTGCCGATTAGGAAAACCGGCCTGCTTCAAAAGGAATGCGATTTCGCAATCTGCGCAGGGAAGGCGATTGTAATATATCAGAACCTATGGCGGTTTCTCGGGTGTGCAGGGCGCAACGGCGTGATCGGATGTTCGACAAGGGTACCTGTATCTCGTACGGAGTAGATACTTGTATACCTGGGCCTGGCCTGGGTATCAATATGTAAGATGACGATTGTTGATTAGAACCAATCGGGGATGTGGTGCAGATGAACCGTCAACTGATACCGAGTATAGAAGTGTAGGATATAAACGAGGGGTTGATGCGATAGCATGTGTTGAGGTTGGAGGGGTATTTTGGCTTTTGCTTCTGGAAGGGTTCATGGGTCAAGGCGGTGAGCATATACTGTGCAGTGAAATGGTAAGTACCGATTGGGTCAAGGATCTGATAAGGCGGATTGCCAGTCCAGGGTGCGGGGCGGGTGCAAGGCAAGGTGGATCGCAGTTGCAGTTGCAGTTGCAGTTGCAGTTGCAGTTGCAGTCGCAGGAGAGGGCAGGACAGGGCAGGACAGGACAAGTCAGGACAGGACAGGAGCCGGAAGGAGTGAGAAAAGTTTCTTTCTCTTCTTTAATCCTCAAGCCGTACGACTCGACCACGACACACGACACGACTACCACCAAAGATTCGGACGTACGTGATGTGGTCCGGTGGGGTGGGGATACACCGAACCTGCTGTTATGTAATATAATGTAACAGCGCGTAAAACTTTGTCAAGACCAGACGAAACAAGACAAGGAAGTAGTCGTTGGCTCGCTGACTATATACGAAGTAGGCGGATGATGTTATTATTGCGATAAAAGACAGAAGAACCTCACTGACGCGATATTGTCGCGGAAAGACGTGTGTACTACGGTAATCCCATCGGCCTTGCCTTGCCCTTCCTTCCCTTCCCTTCCTTCCCTTCCCTTGCCCGAGTAGAATTTTAAGCTACAGTACGTGCGGCATTAACTGATAAGACTTGTAGTATTTGGGCAGGATATGTACCCTACAGTATATCTAGCCTAATGATCATTATAGTATTGTACGACCTGAACCCTAGAGGGGCATAGATATATCCACGCCCCTCTTTTCTCACCCACGAGACGACTGAAGAACAAAAACGTGCTTTACCACTGCACTAATAAGGGCTAGTTGCCGAACCATTAGATGCGGTGCGGTGTGGATGAACAGTTCAATTTCTGTTTGGCGCATTGGGAAACAGAGTTTGGAAGTTGCTTCTCTTGCCTTGCATTTCGTTGCGTTGCGTTGGAGTGCAAGATATGTGTATAGTGCCTAATAGTGTTGCTGCGCTGGGCCTCTGGGACTCGTCCCATATTCTCCGATCACACTTTGTTTCCAACTCGCATCCTTCTTGCATCCATCCGCCATGTGTCACCAAGTGTGGAGTTCGCAGGGCTAAGTCCTACTCCATAGTAATACAGTAGAACAATTTGCCGATTCTAGTGCATTTTACTGTGGAGGGGTGAAAAGATAGCTCTAATCTTGGAAGCCATTGTGTAAGGGAAACTGGCTGAAAATCTCTGCGTCAAAGTCTGCCATGCCGTGACTTTAGATGGTTGGCTACTACTCATGCCAAGTGTAAAGAGGTTGGTTGCATTTACATGATGCTATTGGGGATATTTTGCGATGATTTGATGTTGGAGCCTCACAATCTTTCGTGTTGCTTTGGGCGTTCAGGTTCACGCAGGGCCGCATAAGCCGCAGATCAAAATTTAAATATACTTCGTAGGTAGGTAGGGTAGGTACCTAGGCACTGCCTTTAAAGTTCACAGCACTTTAATTGCTTCTTTCTGTACTTTGTACCTCGAAGTATATTCGACGAGATCATGCAATGATCTACCCTACCGTGCTGTTGTGGCGTACTCGGTAACTCGCTTGACCTTCCCCCCTATTACCTAATTGTAACCAGCCACCTGGAAGTTTTCCCAACAACTCCGGAAGCCTATACAAATAGATTGGCATCTCCATTTAGACATGACATATAAACATACGATGGTGGTAAATACTCCGTAACCACCAAGGACTAATCGTTCCTGCCCGACGGCCAAAGCACAAGATTCTTATCTATCCTAGAATGGCGGGGTAAATCTAAATGCCAGCCAGCGTTAACGTCCCGTCGTAGCAATCACCATGCTCGCTTTCACACGTTGCACCACCACTGCTAATACCACCTCATCAACTAATGCACACCAGAGCAATTCACATGTCACATAAATCCGGGGTAAGGTAAGCCACCGTCGCTGGCCCACTCGATCCTCTGCGTGTCGTCGGGTTCGTTCCGTTTGTACGCGATATACCCCGCATTCAGCAGTTTACTGCTATTTAGCGTACTTTGTTTGCACTTATATATATAAGCAAAAGAAAGGCATCCGCGGTTGGTTTGGTTTGGTTTGGTAGTTCTGATAGTTTGCCTCCGTTATAATGATAATGGGAGTGTGGCTTGATGTCCCCTCATCTTCCTGTCACTCCATCCTCTCGCAACGACCTTCGCGTCCCGTGTCTTCTTCCTCTCTCGGCCGCTGCAGCCGCTGGCAACTCGCCCTTTCGGAAAGTCTGGAAATTTCACTACTTTCTTTACTTAACCGACGACGTCGAGAACAAGATGCTGTTACATCGTATTTGGATGTAATGTGGATGTAATGCTAATGTTGCCCGTGATTACCCGAGTGAGATGTCTGGACTGTGACCCGAAATATTTCCTCTGTCGGGTATATTTAAACAAAAACATTCAAAAGTATTATCATGTTCAATTGGCAAGATCTTATCTGGTTAGATGTTCGCTCAGCAAGTTACACTTGGGACACAGGCCAAGGGGTGGCTTGACATGCGCCTTGATAGAAGTTGACCCCGAAGTCTGATAAGAAAACTTCAGAATAACTTTCTCTCAATATACTTTCAGAACGCTAAAGCCTATAAAGTCTATTAACGTAACGGAGGAATTCCCATCTCTCATCTCCACCAATCCAAACGCTTCATTAGTTACAAACTTTCAGTGCAAAGTTAACACTTACAACAGGACAGAAAGAATTCCTCAGGTGATCAATCCCCTTTTCACCGCCGGCACTATCTGAAGGCCTTCACCGGACGCCAAACATGATATTTGAATACAACATCTAATCAACAATCTGGTCCCATGAGGATAATGCAAGCATGAATCTAAAACAGAAATGCATAGTTATTACCACGTGACAATAATACCAGTTCAATGCAACCTCACCTCCTTCACCTAGTCCCATTAATACCCACAAGCCAAAAATGTCCCAAGTAACTTCCGCACACCCAAAACGCAACCGCACCCAACTGTGGTACCCCATGCAGACACGCCAAGTTAAAATGCGACCGCGTGTCTCCATGTTCGCAATGCTTGAAAAGGGACCGTCCAGGCTCCTGCGTATTCCCCGAACCAGCCCAGAGAAGACGACCAGCTGGTCCCTGGAAATCGAAACCCTACTTTCCTCGTACGGAGTACTCTTCAGCGGCGTCTATTGGCAACATCAGTTGGATGATCTGCATGCCACCCCGGATCGCCTAGCCTTCATATATTCCACCCTGTCTATCTATCCACTGGAGAATTGGGACTAATATATAATTATGTGGAGTGACTCCCGCCATGGCATCGTATAGGCTGGCAATTTCGCTGGGTAGGCATGGCATGGGCTGAAAATGAGTCCCAATCGAATTACTACTACCAGGTACAATTTACTCAGCAGCATTCTCCTATCTCAATGTTAGGGTCTTGTTGCCTAGAATTGAGATGGTATCAAACTGGTTAGGGGGGAAATAGCCGTGATTTTCAATACTTGCACTTGCCGCATTCACTGAGTGATCAGGATATCTTGAACCTTACTTAGATCTACACCTGAGAAATCGCCGCGTGTTTTTGACAACATAACTATGTTGCAAAAAGGTGGAGGGCTGGTAGACGGTCCTTGTATCTAGGAGCATTGGCAAAGAAAGAACGTCACAGCTAGCACTGGACTGAGAAAAGCCAGCCATATGAACAGAGCTTAGAGGAGGGCACAGCAACTTGTATTCGACTCGAAGCCAACCCAGCATCCTCGTGCTTTGGCTCTATCCATATCCACCGCAGAAAAACCGAACCCTTCGTTTCCCTCGCTGGTATTCGGAATGACAACCAACCCAACGCCTGGCCATGATAATCCCAGTTTCGTTCTGCGTATCTCCTCTCTTCTCCTCTCCGCCCGCCTTATCTCAATCTCCTCGCTTCTCTCTCGGATTCTAACAGGCACAGAATGTCATCTTCACGCACTATGGATTGTTGAATTAGCCCACAGCACGTACACAACTCTCGGCTCGTTTCGAGAGAAGCGCAATCTCAATTCTCTGCATACCTGGGCCCTTGACATTGCGGATGATGGAACGAGTAGTATCGTCCATAAACTCAACGCGCACCTGCGTGACACCACCACGAGAACCTATTTAATTCCATTGTCAGTCTTCCATTCCCTTCCCTGCCCTTCCTTTCCCTTCAATCCACGAATCCCGCCTGCATGTCTTCAGGTACTTCTGGGCTGGGGGGGGAATTACGTACCGGTTCGGCCGAGGACTCGGGTCACTTTGACGAGCTTGACGGGGACTTTGGAGGATTCCATGGTGGGCGACTGGGGAGGTTGAAGGGATTGTCGGTGGGATAGCCTTGCCTTGTCGTGGATTTTGAGCTTTGAAGGTTCTGGGACATTGAAATGTGCGATTCCCCGCCTCGCTTATCGGGAGCTAAGTGAGGTAAGTCTCAGATTCAGATACCAAACAAATTTAACACCACGTGACTATATTGCAACCTTACCTTTCAAATTAAGTTGGTTGACTTGTGCTGGACGGATTGGCAATAGTCAAATAAATGGGGAGATAATATGTTCATGGTATTTTGAAAATCTCGGATGATGATGCAATGAGATATGTTACACCTACAAGTAGCTACTTTACGCCTGGGCTAGTAGGTAATCGCTCTATAGCTATATACCCGTATTGTTCTTTTGTACCTGGCCCAACTTCTCCCTATCAAGTGAGTCTCGTCAGGTCTTAAGATGCCATATGCATCGAAATACCGGTTCTGTGCCAGCAAATCTTGCTCCCTCCAACTAGCTGACTTTCGTACTACATTCATCTATTACCACCAATCAACTCCTTTTCATCTATAGCTTAGCATTTTTCAAGCAGCAGCTCTATATATGACAATAGTACCTCTTTCTTCAATCCCTATCAAGCACATGGAAGAAATAACTTTTGTAGTACTAACCTCCATAGTCTTTTCGTCCACTTCGCGTGTTCTAGGGTTACCCGAATGATCGCCCCTGAATAGCTTCATTTGTAACCTAGAGTATAACCAAAGCACGTGTTATAGGACCTCTCTCTACAACACAAAACTACAACGTACAAGAAAACTTTGATCTTCAAACTAAATTTGCGGGTATAGTAGGACTGTAAGTGCACTTGCGGATCTATTTTTAGCACATGGCCTCTAACGTCTTTGTGTCTGACACAGCAGATAATGAAGCTCATTCTCGAACGTACAATGATATCCAGAAGTTGGAACAAAGCAGCGATAACGAAGCGGAATCATCGTATAAAGAAACCCCTTCATCGATAGCAAACAAAGCCATTCAGCGTGAATATTTGAAAGACTCATATAAACCCGTTGTCTCCAATCCTTCCCACCACAAGAAACCAATTACTCACAAACATCCCTCACCCAATCTACTCACGCCATTTTGCATATTCATTGCAAAAACGAAAAAAAAAAAATTCATATAGCAAACAACGCAACATAGTATAACTACAGCACCATGCACAAGTTAGCAACGATGCAAACACTCTTCAGGAGAAAAGAAAGCGGCATGAAAATCGACCATACAACTTATGAGGAATCGCGGCGTGGCAGGACCAATGCCGCAAGAACCTCCAAATCTGGGAAAGTGAAAGGCTCTTTGTCTTCACACGTTCCTGGACATAATAGCGATGATACCGAAAAGCGGGTTACAGCGTGGCCGCGAGAGATCAGCACCGCGGCGTCTACAGACAATACCGACATAACAGCTTTTCTCAATCAAGAACGCCGGAAAAAGAAAGACGCACAAGAACAAGAGAAGGTCATGTCGAGAGCGAATTCGACTGGGCAATACTTACCTTTGAAACACCCTAGGATACCATACCTAAAGCCTCCCCTACTCGTCCCAAATTTGGATCGGAAGGGCAAGATTTCAGATAACGCAAAGGTAGTAGCTCCAAGCGGATCCAGTAGCCGAACATTCAAAGGAAAAGAAGGTATGGCTGAGCTCAAAACCATACAAACGGCCATAAAAACCGGGAAAATCGAGCGCGTAGTCCCACGACCAATACCAGCAGGGCAAGAAGGACGACTAGCGCCTCCTCGAGGACCGCTCTTCATGCCAGCCCCGACAGCTCGCAAGACCAAGACCAACTCGAGCAAGGCAGCAGAATACATCAGTGTCAGTGCCGACATGTTAGACGAGAGGCGCAGAGAAATAACGAGTAAGTTCCGCGCCTCATTCGAGCACTTCAACAACTCCCTATCCCGAGAAGCATCATCTGCTTCCTCCAGTTCTTCATATTCCTTTCACTGCCAAGGAGAAAATCCAGAGCAGTGGCTAAGTGGCAAAGGCACTGATCCCGGGACCCAACATTGTTTTGCGCAGGACTGTAGGCTGTGTAGGAAACCGGGCGTCGAGGGAATTCGAGGCTTGTGTGGAGAATGCGAGATCGAGTATGAGTTTACGGGCGCCTCATCTTCGGATGGGGATTTTAAACCTACGCCTCCGTTGAAGGATAGGAAGACGTTGTCTCTGAGGAGGGATAAGAAGAACGGTAAGCTTGTTTCTCAACTTGAAGCTATGCCCGAAAGGCCCAGGCTGGCCACGAATGGAAGTTCTGGTAAAGCGATAGTCGTTACGCCCGCGAGACAAGAATCTCAAAAAGCGGTTGTAGAGAGCATTGTCGACACAAAGGATAATGGGATCACGCGTTGGCAAAAGGGTGTAGCAAGGGCAGAACATGATAGAAGCCGGGATGCCAATGAGAGGTGGTCAGATTCGTTTGGAGATGATGATGAGTATAATTTTGCAGTGGAGGCAGCGAATGACCTGGCGCCTTTGCTTGCCCCGAACACATCGGCTCTTGGTCGTGGCAAGGAGAGACGCACTGCATTTTACGGCTTCTGGGATGACATATTGCCCGATCTTGGTGGGAAAAGGTGAATAATAGGTAGTAACAAACTCAGTGCACATCTATAAAAGGCCATAAACATGCTTCCCAGTCCCATTGTGTATAAGTATAACCATGCTCACATATTACGTAGGTAGGGCATTCGTAAACGGATGAATCTCGTGTACTGTTCAAAAGCCGTCGTGTCCTCATCTTTTCCTGTCGTGGACAGAGCGACCCTTGTCTCCAGCGACATCAACATCCAACACGTTGCAAGCTCCGACCATAGGGGCTTCAGTATTCCTCAAAGGTCCTCGTATAGTACAGCTGCTCAAGCAGACTGCATTCAAGTGTCTCCCGTCATCGACATTCGAATCTCATCGCCCTCAATAAAGAAGACCCAACGAGAAGCAAACTTCCTATCGAGGAGTTAAATTCATCTCCAGAGCCTCACACCCGCAAGCGGGCGCTGGCAACACACCACTGTTGTAGAATTCGAGGTGGAGGTCGTGGCTGGCTCTGTTGCTTTTTTGATGAAGAAGAAAGCTTTTTGTTGGAAGCTTTTTTTCATTTTATGTTTGCGCGCTGATTTGGAATGACGCTAGTGACTAAGCAGCCGAGATTGCGCCTGGTGCGCTTAGCGCTAGGCTAGGCTTCCGCTTCCTTCTTCCCTTGGCGAGGCTGAAGAATCAAGAACAAATACCTTAGGAGTACCTGTCTTTTCTATATCAGGTAGCTCTGTATACGCAAAGAGGATACATACAACTAGATTAAACCTCAATTTTCAAAGCAACATATCACTGGAATTGTTTTTCTTTTCCTAATTACATTACAAGGCTTCAGCCGCAATTCTGGGAGCCTCGAAGAGGCCAAACAACTGTTTGATTGTCTCTGCTATTGCCCTGCTGCTCTAGTGTCTATACCTACACGGCGTTGCCCTTTGACCCTAGAATTCCAGCAGCAATTCGTGGAGGGATATACCCTCGCATCTCATCCCGCGGCGATCATGTGCCGGCCTTCTCAACGCAACGAGCTTAAAGCTCGAAGAGTTTTTCTTTTTCGATGATTCCTTCCCTCCCCACATACGGAATTATGTCCCACAGATGGCAAGACGATGAAATATTCTTCTAGGACATTCAGATCGATTCAGCTCAGCAAAAGGCTGGATACGCAATCTTCAAGCTGTGCTGCAATTAAGCAGTGATGGACGAATTTGGGTACGCCTGGGGTAGGCTTATTTTAATAACAATTCACTAAGCACTTTGGAAGCAGCTAATATATGTCACGCCAAAGAATACAAGCAGATCAATAGTATAATTTCCTGCAAGTCCATCGAGTTCATATATACAATGCCATGCTAGCTAGGACGGACAAGCTCAAATCCAAGCCCAAGCTAAAATCCGAGCAAAAATAAAACAAATGCAAATGCAACGAACGCCATATGCTAAAGTATGCTATGCCTTCCATGCGCTAAATCATTACCATGCCATACCATAAACGAGCCTAAGATTGATAAATGCCCCGCATCTAAAACTAACGCCCTGCCTGCATTTAATAATGCAATGCCCAAATGACTATAAATTCCGTGCCGAGTATCGAGTCGAAATGCAAGCTAAAGCGTCATGCTGCTAATTTGGGGAAATCCAGTCTTGCTTTGCAAAATGGCTGTGACACATGGGTCCCATGAAAGCCTGTTCGGAAAATAAGATGGCCAAGACTCTGCAAGGCACAAACGTGAAAATATTACCAAGACCGCGCGACCAGCAGGGGAGGCTTATTGGATTAGTAGCTATGTCTGGATAACCGGCGCTTCTCCAAACACCAACTTCACACCCTAATACATCCTACAACCTTCAACGCTACAGCACAATCCCAGCTCATCTCCAAGTTGAATGGCGAACATGTACAAGACGGGTCCTGAAACTGATATCATCAGAAGAGGGAAAAGGTTGTTCTACTCTCATTGGAGCAAAGAGTTTACTGAAACACGAGTAGGGTTCGAAGATGCTGATGCCTGTGACGGAGTGCCGTACATATTGGAGTTGCCATTAGATCCCGAAGTATACGATTGCGCATGCATACCGGAGCTGCTATTCGATGCGGAAGTTTGTGACTGCCCGAACATATGGGAGCTACCACTATAGTAATGTTGTGGACCAAAGATTGACAAAGGGCTTGAGCGAGCAGCTGTGGGGTGGTCGTTGAAGAAGGAAGTATAGCCTAATGGTGCTTGGTATCCCAAGGACTGGGATGGAGAGGCCGTATTGTATGCGAAGCCACTACCAGACCCAAAGCTATGGGAAGACCCGACGCCAAAGGGATCCAGTCCGTGGTGAGAATTGTCACGCTCATATCGTTGCGTCGTATCAACATCCTCGACAAAGTCCTCCTCCTCGGGTAAATCCATAGCCTCGTCCTCATTATCGACAGGTGCATCTTTCTTTTGCACTTCAGGGTCCTTCTTTAAATACTCTTCCCACTCCTTTTCGATCTTTGGCTTCATTGTGTTCCAGCCACGTTCGGTACCAGGATCGCGGAAGATACGGGTAGCCCTCTTGTAAGCATCAGAACGCTGTTGGATAAATTCCGTTGGAATATGAGGGAGATCCTCCTTGGCTCGTCGAGTAAATAGTTTCCTGCGCGCATTCCGATTGACATCATGGTCGTCCCTGGTCTGTTTAGACGTTATTTTCTGGGCGCTTTCCACGCTCTTTACCCATGCCATGAATTTCTCATTCCTCTCTTTCATAGTGTCTATGAACCCATCTTGCTTCGTTTTTGCATCGGCCAGAGCGGACTGATAGTCCCTGTAATGGTTATCCCTCTCCTGTTGCGTCCACTCTGAATTCTCGATGAATGGAGCGGGCCGCAGGGCATTGTGTTTCTCGATGATGTTTTCAATATCCGCCGTGTAATACACTTTGTAAAGTCTTGGCTGGCCTCCAACTGATGCGAGATCTTCTTTCCAATCGACAGCTTTGAAATATGAGTCTTGAAGCGCAACCGGAATGCATTCCAGAAGGCGTTGTAAAGTGTGTCGATCAACTAAGGGTGAGACAAATTCCTTCAACACCTTTTCTTCTCTCAAGATCATGCTCAGCCAGCAATCGTGGCATAATCTCTTCATGCAAGACCAATGGGTTCGGTGAGCCTTTTCATTCCCGCAGATCGGGTTCTGGCAGCCTTTAAACCCACCGAGCAACATGTTGAGTTCCAGTTCCGAGGTGCCAGGGAGGGGTGGTGGGAGACCATTCTGGGTTCGAGAATTGGTAAACAGTGAAACTTTGTACATCTGGACAATGGCCGAGAAGTTCCTGTTGAGAATTCTTGCCTTGTTTAGAAAAGAAGGATGGCAAAACTCGAGCATTCGGAGCCAAACTTCATGAGGCACACGATTTACGGCCTGCCGAGACATTAGATCGGGAAGTACAAGAGGTGAAAGAAACTTACGGGTTCTGGCTTCGGCGCCTTGGTCTTGGCCTTTTTCTTCGGAAGTGGAGCGGATTCCGTGTCCTTGTTGGCGAGCTGACGCTTTTGACGTGAGATCTGCACCTTTGCAAGAGGGTAGTGTTGAATAATCGAGAGTTCGCCAGAAGTGGAAGCAGAGGTTCGGCGAGAGACCATAGATGTAGGCGGAGGTGGTACTGAAGTGGTAATATTATTGACAAACCTATGAGCACCCGTGTCGTCCCCAGACGTCAGATTGACTCGCTGGGTAGGCTGCATGTTGTGCGATGAGGCTCCAGTTGAAGAAGAGCTTGTTGTATCCAGGCGGACAGGCGAGGGTAGCAAGCTTGTGCGCTTAGATTGAGTTGGGTTGTAATTGAAGGGTCGTCGGTCACTTGTATCGAGGAAGCCTCTTGAGGGACAGCTGCTATTACTGCCTTGTATTGAGAACGTGTTCTGGCCGGGTATTTGTTGTATCGGTGGAAGAATCGGGGGGCTTGAAAAGGAAGAGGATGCAAAGAATGGAGGTTGGCTTGTTGGGGCTGCTTGATTGCCAGGGCGTCCCCAGGAGTGTTGAGCGATGTTTCCTCCAGGGCGGTACGTCGAAGCAGAGGCGTTGAAAGAAGCTTGAGCTAGAGCCGTAACCATTAGTCTGTAGTCTGCTGAAGGGCCCATTGAATGTATTTGGAGAGGGGGGAAGGGGCAGAGAGGGGTGAATATTCGTACCCGAAGTCGCACCTACACCGGCTGTCTGTCTAGGAGTTGCAGAAGCCGGATAATCATCGCTCATCTCCATAATCTCCCGTAACTGATCCATCACCTCGGAGCTGGAGCCAAATATCGGTCGCTTTTCAATCAAGGATCGGGCGAGCTGACGGGCAACTCGCAACCCGGCGGGATGTGTAAATGCTCGCTCGAGGTCGAAGGGAAGGGGGGACGAAGAGGCTGAAGAGGCCGAAGATACTCGATGGGCATCGGAATGGGGAAGAGTCTGTGTTTTCGAGGTGGAGTCGGAGGTGTGGTCGTGGGGGTTGTGGTAGATGTCGGGGCGGCTGTCATTCATATTGTGAAGGTGTGGTGTCCCCAGAGCAGAGGCTAAGTATGCGAGCCCCGCTAAGTGAGGGCGATATCCGCACCGTCAGTCAATCGAGAATAGAAGCGAGAACCAGGGCTTTGAACATGGCATCCGGAGAGAATAATGCGATGGTCGAGGCAAGTGAGAAGGGTGGGTGGTGGTTAATATTACGGATGGGAGTGAGGTGAGAATGCGCAGTGAAGTTGAAATATGTGAGGTTGCGGCTCATTTCAATATGGACCGGGCCAGGAGTCTGGTCTGGGCCCATTTCTATCTTTAGGTGCAGAGGAGGCAGAATAATAATTATTATTGTTGTTATATTATTGTATTACACATAGTATCATTCTCTCGTCTTCTTTCTTTGGACAGCACAAAAGACGATACATTGTAGTCCAATGAATGTATGTATTCCTGGCTTCAATATCTATTCTTAATCTCATGACATCTTAAAGATTTATCGCTACAGTTCTACTTGCTGCTTACCTGCAGACCGACGGCTGTCCGCGGTCTTGTGACAACTCTCGAGATCTTGAGATTTCTGCCGGCTTGGCAACATGGCAGCCTCATAATAATTTCATATGGCTGTAGGAATAATCGTCGTGGACTCCTCGGGATGGACGCATCCTGCCGCATCATGGTGTGTTATGAAGAGTTCTAATGCGCCATATGCATTTTGAGACCGTGTCGGCGCATGCCAGTGGCTTGGTACATTTTACATGGAAATTTGCATTTTGATGAGAAGATGAATATTTACAGCCTTGCCTCTCAGTCCTGCGTACCATTGCTACTGTACCACTGAGCGTTTGCATCTCACTGTACTTTTATTTTGGCCTTTACTCGTACGTCTAATATTACAAAAGACAAGAGAATTCGACGTAGACGTGCTCCCTATCTAGAACTGGCCGAAACTCTCTTCAAGAAATATTTCAAAGTACCTACCCAGTTCCTTCCCCGTCTCAACGCATAGAAAGAACAGATCGAGCAATCTACTGAGCTTTAGACTAGCCCCTTGCTTGCCATCCACCGACCCAAACTTGTCACCCCTTCCAGAGAAATAGTTTCTACGAATTATTGTAAATAAAGATCACCCTTTCAGTTTCGTTGCAGTCTACTCTTTTTAGGGACTCTATTCATAGTCTTATTTTTGTTTTTATTTCCCAAGCAGAATGCCCAGACTGCACTTGCCTTGGTCTTACTAAATAGATCTTTCATATTTCAACACATATAAGTAATAAGGTCTCTTGCTCTTCTTTAAAGCTATGACTCATCTCTCACTTGCCCGAAAACATAATATATCAGATGAAAAATCAGAGGGAATCTAACGAGACGCCTGATCAGTTCTTGTTATGCGAACCGGGCTATGGTAGCCCTTAAATAAGGTAGGTACATTAACATCTACTACCCAATGATATGAATGTTATAATATGTCTCGAGTACTCGTATCTATATCCAAATAGAAAGCACAACAGAGGCTAGCTACTACATCACATCTTCATGACGGATAAATTCCGCTCGGTAGTGGGGTACCTCTTTCTTTCCAAATCTCGTGACGATATACAGAGCACCTAAACTTAATCAAGCATCCCTTCCCGACGCCTGACAACCCCAGATTCCAACAACCCCGCCAATCGCTACTTGCCCAATCAATCTTTCCCTTCTTGAAGTTTAATCCTCGGCACCGGAGATATTGATTTTCATCTTTTCCTATTTCCCTTTTCTCTACCTTACCCCATATCAAATGCTCAACACTTTTACCGTAATGTATACTGGCGACCCATCCCATAGCTAGTACTACCTAAAAAGGAAATTCACATCCTAACCGTTCAAGTACTTGATCTCCGAGCGGCTTCGGCGCCTAGCGGTTCTAAAGAGTGGGGTTGACAAAAGCCATCGCAAAAGGTTGGGCTTGACTAGTCAAACCCAAAAGAAGTCTTCTTTAAAATGGGCTGGCTGGTGGGGGAAGGATTTGCTTACATACCCCCTGTTCCTGCATCCTGTGCTGTCTGACAACCTTTCTTTTCTTTTTCCACCTGCAATTGAATACCTTTATCTTCTTCCTCAGCTCAGCGCGTGGAGAAGACATCGGGTTATCTACCGCTCCATATTTAGTTGTTGATCTTCATCTCCTCAAAATGTTCGGGAGTAAGTCAACAACACCTTGGTTGAGCCTCAAGCCTTACACCACATACCTTACTAATCAAACCCCCAGACTCCAAACACGCCGGCTCACCCGCGGTCTCAGATCATGAATCGGGCATCAAAAGTGAAGCAAACAACTATTACGACCCTAACCTCCCCTCCACAGGAGACCCTATCGAATATGACGAACTGCATGTTGTCTGCCCTCCCCACACCACCGAGCGCAAGCTCATGAGGAAGATCGACCTGCACGTCATCCCCTTCCTCTGCATTCTGTACCTCCTCGCCTTCCTCGACCGCGTCAACATCGCCAATGCCCGCTCATTCGGCCTCCAGAAAGATCTGCATCTCACCAAGAATTTGCAATACAACACCGCGCTGACCATCTTCTTCGTGCCCTATATCGTGTTTGAAATCCCTTCAAATATTCTGTTGAAGAAATTCAGTCCCCGCATTTGGTTAACGGGGTGTATGTTCATGTTTGGCGTTGTCAGCATTTGCCAGGGCGTTGTGACTTCGTATGGCGGACTGCTGACCACGCGCTTCTTTCTGGGCCTCTTCGAGGCGGGTATGTTCCCGGGTTGTTTCTATCTCATTGGCATGTGGTACAAGCGTTCTGAAGCGCAGCGTCGGTATTCGTTCTTCTTCAGCTCCACCACCCTAGCCGGCGCGTTCGGCGGCTTGCTCGCATCGGCTATCGGCAAGATGGACGGGATGCGCGGGTACCATGGATGGCGTTGGATCTTCATCCTGGAGGGTGTTCTTACAGCCGTTGTAGCTCTGGCCTTCTTCTTCTTCCTTCCCTCATTTCCCGAGGACGCCAAGTGGCTCACGGAAGAAGAGAAGAACTACGTCAAGGCGCGCCTGCAGGTTGACCAGGGCCGCTCGGCTGCGGAGCGCAAGATCACGCTGCGGGATGTGGGCAGGGTGTTCAAGGACTACAAAGTCATCTTAGGGGGCTTCATGTATTTCGGCATGATTGTGCCAGCGTACGGCTACGCGTTCTTCGCGCCCACCATCCTGGCCACCTACGGCTACAGCGCCATCAGTACGCAGCTGCACAGCGTTCCCCCGTGGGCCGCAGCCTTCGCCTTCGCCATGGTCATCGCGTTCGCGTCTGATTTCGCAAAGCACCGGTTCCTGTTTACCATCATCCCCATCTGTGTCTCGATTGCCGGCTTCGCCATCCTGTTGACAGTCCACCATAACCGCGAGCTCGAGTACGCGGCGCTGTTCCTCGTAACCATGGGCACGTACGCTGCGATGCCCGTTATCGTCTGCTGGTTCAACATGAACCTCGGGGGCCACCACCGCCGCGCTGTAGGTACGGCGTGGCAAGTGGGCTTTGGCAATATAGGCGGCATCATTGCTACCTATGCCTTTATCCAGGAAGACGCGCCGTATTATAAAAAGGGATATTCAATCTGTCTGGGCTTTCTGTGCTTTGGCGCCGCGAGCTGTCTGGTGTACGCGTGCGCTGTGAGTTGGGAGAATCGCAAGAGGGACAGGATGACTGTTGACGTGGGATTGAGCGAGTACGAGAAGACAGAGTTGGGTGTAAGTTCTTTCTTCCCCCCTCCCCAGCCCTTTTGATTGAATGCTAATTCCAGCACCAGGATTTGAATCCTGAATATAGATACCTCCTCTAACGACCCGAATGCATATTATTATGTTTTTAATGAAATCTACTTCCCCTTCATGTATATGTACGTACATTATATTTTGCAAACAAAAGTTAAATAAAAACATCAACGACGTCCGTCCGTCCGATCTTAGGAAAGATCATGTGGAGGGAGGCCTTTACATATCATATCATATAAAGCTAAGCGAGATCACACGAGATAAAAATATAGCTGAGAAAGAACAAGTAGACAGACGGAAATGATATATACCGTAATACAGCACCCTGGTTATAGTCTTGGTTTGACGTAGTCACATATATGGATAGACGTGACACGATTTTTACTTCGATGTGTTGGAATTGGGATGAAAGGGGGCTGTCGATGGATAAAATGATAGATGATGCGCGGTGCGTTCGCGGGTATGGCGAATATATAGAGATTGTTGGTTGGGTTTGGGGGGCTGTGGATAGTGTATAGATAGCAGCAGTGAGTGCTTTTGAAATGTCAGCTGCACTCACCGGATGAAGTGTTCGTGAAATATACCGAATATATATATGTCTGTTAAGGAGCTAGCTAGACATATACACCCGACAGACAGACAGATTAGACTGGTCCTGAGACCCTCCTCCCTCTCTCCTATTACCAGTACTGTACATTTCAAAATCTAGCTATATATTACAACATGCATTTTCCCTGCAATCGCATCAAACAATCTCATACCCGGCCATCCACATCCACAACCTCCCAAACAACAACATCCCCCCACCTCCTCCAATCATCCAACACCCACCCATTCCCGCCCCTCCACCTCTCCCTAACCCCAAACCCCCTCC